CTTGAGGAATTCAGATGCATACTCGAAGTTGTACTTCCCTACCGGTCCAATCTCGTAAAAAATATCCTCCTCTTCATGTGATATGCTTTGCAGAAGGTAGCCTTGTTTCACTTTAACGTTTTCGGCGTACACATAGGAGTCCCCGGACCCCGCTATGTACACTAGAAATAGAAACTGCACACCCGCAGAATTTATCCATCATAATCTCCAAATAGATGTAACCGGCACAAAAAGTAAAGGAAAAGCATGCAAGGTGAGTAAACAGACTATTACCAGTTCACATCCTTGAATGAGGCCCCGTGCGCCAGAGGAAACATATCTAGATCGTGCTCGATCTCCCACATGGCAGCATAAATTGTTTTACCATCCGAGACGCGGCTAGCGGCACAATCAGCAGTGCACTGTTCTGCAACGACAAACAAACATAATTCGAAAAGTCCTAACAGTCGGATATATTTTTCCAACTATGAAACTAAGCTACTTATGTATGACGAAGGGAAATAATCACACTCAAGCTCAGAGGAAATCAGTAATTTATCAGCCTCCCTATTCTTTTGACAGTTTCTGTGTTGAGGAGGCGATGGTACGTGTCAAAACTTCAGAATCGACCCAGTTGCGGGGCTTCAGTCTTTCCCTCTGAACAACATGCTCGCTTCCGGTTGCCGGATCCATCTCCAAATTAGTGCTTTAGTGTGCGATGGAAGTTTAAACGAAGGGAGGAGGGGATATTTTATAAAAATAACAGGACAAGCCTTCGTTGCTTGAATGGTTGAAACGAAGGAAGGACGAGGGACTTTTTGAAATAAACTGGTCAGGCCTTTGCTGCTTTAATAAATGAGAATGGCGGTTGGTTACTTGTAAATTTACTACGAGGTGAGGGAAGTTACAGTGTGCACAAAAGCCTCCATTAATAGAGGGCTCTGCTTTCCATGTGTGTTTCAGAACGGTGTGATCGTCTATAGACTCCAATCGATATTTAAGTGGTTAGGGAATCATAGTCAATCCATCCTCATTACTTGCGGGCCTTATGTGGTCATCGGCTTAGAACGGTCGAAAGCCCATTTACATCCATTTAAAATCATATAGTTCTACTCTCGTATCAAGTGTCCTGCAGATTACTGCTGAAGATAGCGCTGTTAACGTGACACAACAATGACAGTCTCGCAGACATAATATTCCTTCTGCTCCGTTGGAATATTTGCAGGATTCACTGTCATGAGTTTTTCGTCGGGACCTCATGTCAAGCCATTATAGTGTTTAGGGTATTAAAACATTTCAATGGTTAAAATCCAATCTATTGTGATTGCTAACAAACTGCCAATACCATATAATAAAATATATGAGACGACTAATTATATTGTGTAGGAATTTTTGTGTTATGGAAATTGGTTATCGGTAATACCAAATAGTTATAGGTTGTCTAAAATTGGTTATCAATTTCTAAAGTTGGCCCTACCGCCAAATCGGTTAAATCTAGTTGGGTCATTATCCTAGCAATTTCTACTCATCAACATTTGTAAAATGTGTTAGCAATTCCCAAAGTGGGTCTCATTTACTGTTTAAAATCCATACAAACACTTACCAATTGAAAAGTTTTCAAGCTAAAAAACACTTACCTCATTGGATTTCTTATTCAGATAGGAATCATACAATATGTTGGATTATAGAAATATGGTCACGTAATGTGATTATAGCACTAATTCACGTAATGATTATAGCAATATGGTCAACCAAACAACCAAACCGGTTAAACTTGCGTTGCTTCCAAGAGGAAAATTTGTTGCAACTATACTTTTAGCGAAAAATGATATGATATACCATCTACTTACATTATGAGTATCCATTAATGCATGCCTCGAGCCCACATTGTAAAGTTCCGCTAACGAGTTTGTACAAGTGGTCTTGTGGTTAGTTGTAGCCCACAGTTAAAAGTCACATGGGCCTCCTTTGCATGCTATTGGGCTTAGTCTAACCCCATTATCGGACTCTTGTAGATTTATAAACAATAAAATACTCGTTGACATTCGAAGGAAGATGTCATTTATTAGATGCGAATACTTCCAACTCGTAATGATGGAAGAAAGGAGGCCCTATTGTCCTTGTTGGTGAATCATTTATAACACTCCAGCATAATATCTTTGCGGATCTTAACAAAATGACTTGTGGGTACTTGGAGGAATCAGAATACAGTAATGCCATGTGACTACTAGCACGCTATATGCATTGACAACCCCGTCCGTCGTCGATCCTAACTAAGTGGATAGTAAAGCTTCAATTAACGATTTGTCACGCCATTCAGGTGGCTGTTCTCTAGTTCTTGATGATCAAGGGGGAGTGCTCCAGCTCCAGCTTCCTGCTGCGACCCCGTTGGGGTAGCAAGATGGCGTTGCGCACCAGACATGTCATCCTACCACGCTTGGAAGTCGCAAGTCATGAACCGCATGGACGACTTTGACTGCATGGACGACTTTTAACCTTATAATACTCCCAATGATACCCGAAGTAATTCATGTTTTTCTTTACGAGCCTGGTAGCCTGCTTCCCACAGAAGCATAAAATCTCTGCACCGGTGTAGTTCTTCTCGTCAAAACTTTGCCTTGGACCTAGGTCATTCGTCTGCGTAACGACAAGCTCATCCAGGCGCATCACAAACTCGCATGTCATGAACTTTAGTTGTGGCAACCTCTGCACGATGTCAAAATGTGTGTCCAGAAATTCAAAATCATTCGTGGAACATTAGCAAAAATAACGTTGTGTATTACTGGAAACTTGCAGCAATTTCTCACCTTTACAACTTCCCAGTGTCACTAGAAATAGTTATCCCCTTCCATTTTCCCAAAACGACCCACACGCCTGCTGGCCCGATGACTGCAGAAGCAGAAGACCTCCGGTCCAGTGTGCGTGAACGGATCTGGTTCACCGTAAACCGCGGCCAGCCTTGCCGTTTCAACCCGCCCACTTTGTGTAATAGTTCTCTAGTCTACCACCGTTCACTAACGTTTGTTTTCTATACAAACAGACGTTCAATGCCCCCATTATATGGCGTACTACTTTGTCCTCGGGTTACGGGGAGGAGTCAGACCACAGGGGCGCTACCAGTAGCGACGGAGCTTTAACTGTGAGTGTCACTAATTTTGCTTGAAGATTTGGATTCTGACGGTAGATTTGGTTATCATCTGGCTGGCAAAGCCATATAATCCACCCATTGTATGCTCATTACTCACCCACAGCGGTAGCTTCTATGGCACCATAGGTGAGACAGATGTGAAACAAACGGTTGTAGTGTAAGTTCAATTAATAAAATGTACCAACGACGATATATTAAAAAATATTTACTCTACAGGGTTCAAATATTACTTAATGGCCACCTTAATATTTCTCTCTATTTATATTACAACAGAAAACACTCGGAAATAAGTTGTTCAAGCTAGAAAGAGTCGTTCATGTAGTAGCTACATGATTTCCCATCGGGCATGCACCTTCACCACCTTGTCTGCGTGCGTTGGGGATTCATTGTATAGTGTTTTGTGATTGCATGCTCGCCGAAATCGGTGTTGACCCTGGACATATCCGCCGGTAAGTTCGAAAGCTTCTGCTCCACCATGTATACATGACCCGTTTTTTCCTTTGCATAGTGGCCTAACATCTCGTTCACGATTTGTGATGTCACGGTCATGAACTTTATCGTGGGATCAGACAACTGGGACTACGAGTCGACTATCGAAAGTTCATGGTCCTTCCTTAGTGGCTACTCCTAAAGTTTGCGCCTTGGCTACACACTTTTCTGTCGCGATCTTGGCCTTGGAGGCCGCAATTTCCATAATTTTCTTCATGCCCTCTCTTCATGGTCGTGATATGCTTTTTCCCATAACCCCTACACTTGTAACCCATTTTTCACCTAAAACGTTCATTTCATCTAAAACACCCTAATATGACAATATTCTCTTCGAGGAACAAAATAGGGATGTATTTGATGATATATTGACCATTAAGACCACGAAATTACTCGAAATGACCCTGAATATGAAGGCTAAATAACACCATTTTGGTTGTTATCAACTCACCTACACTTAGGAGTTTGCTTGTCCTCAAGCAAACCTACTCAAACAAGTACAACTTAGTAAACAATCAACATGGTATGCACTATAGTTTTCTTTGCACTAGTTATAATAGTTGGGGTCGAGTGAAAGTTACTCTCATCTCATTGTGTAAACACAAACTCCCGGATGAGGATTATGTCGACTAAATGGGTCAAGGCATTCTAGGTGTGCACCAAGGGACTCTCAAAAACAATAAAAGCGATGGACTCTTTGAAGTTTCTCTTTATTCTTTCTTTTCAAGGTAAGAGTCAATTTTTTTATTCTCCTTTTTAAACATTACCGTACTTGGAACATTTGCAATTTTGAAAATAGGTATCTCCCCCTCATGTCCAAGAACGAAACGACATTGCCCGGGCACCACTTTCCAGCCTGCACTCCTCGTCTCAATGGCACACAAGTTGCCACACATGTCGGGTACAAACGAGAGTCGAGGTCTCGTGACTCGAGTAAAGACACACACTATCTCCTCTCCGTACGAGTTAATGAGGATGAGAGGTGTTTGGAGGATGGAAGGTAGTAAAAGATGATCGGAATGCCACATCCTAAAATGGCACTCTGGACCATGAGAAGAGCCCTTTGACGGATCAACTTGAACACTATGTCCGGTTTCCTTTCATGTGAGAACCTCACTTTCGAAAGATTTTTTTTTTCAAAGTTGAGTCCATTTTGCAAATATTTTTAGTCCAAAATAGGTTGAAAGTACCACACACATGTCTTTATCTAAGTAGCAAACATTATAAAATCACCAAAGAGGAATATAGGAGTAAAACCCCTCATACACCGACCACTCTTGTAAATGGAAACTACTCCCTATAAAGCAAACCACATCGACTATCTAACTCAAAGCACATTGAGGAGGCAGATGCTAGGGACAACTAGTGGCCTGCCGTTTCACAAACACAATAAGGGAATCGATCTCCTTGGTTCATCAATCGTCTTTTCCTAATTCATCGAGCTTGCTCAGTGTGTTCCTGTGAAATGATACCAGTTAGGGTTGAACAGGTCCAGATCGAGGAATCAGAGATTTGAAAGGGTATAGCTGGAATCGTCTCGCGCTCGACGCCTTCTACAGAATCCCGCCGCCATGCTTGCTCGGTGCGCCGACAGGGTTCACTCGTCTATGCTGATGGCGAGCGATGGTGAGGAGGAAGAAGGAACCGCTGGGTACGTCCCGTCGCCGCCGCCGCCGCCATGCCTTCCGCCGCGCCGATTGAGGACACAGAAGAGAGAAAAGAACCTCTCGTCGTCTCTGCAACTTCGTGAACCGAAGAGAGAATTTCACCAGTGGAGATTCGGGCGGAGCAGAGCAGACTTAGGCAATGGGATTAGTGCGACTGCAGCGTCGACGAGGCGGACCGAGCAACACTCCCACCCGCCGCGAGGAATCACTAGGTCGAGCGGCGCATCGGAAGGCAGTTGCGGCGACGACGGCGAAGACTCCTAGGGCGAACGGCGAGGACGACGAAGACTCCCCAAAATCACCCCCGCTACCCCAATTGCATTACAGAAGTCTACTTCGCCGTTTCTGCGTCGTTTCCTTCCCTTTGCAAGCTTTCGATTCCATTCGTTTCCCATGCCATAGCTTCGTACTTTCCCCTGCAACTCCTTCACTCTTCATCTCCGCTTCCCGGGTTAATTTCGTGCAAATCCTCCCTAGATGATGACCAAGAAGAAATAGCTGAAGCAGACACTGAGGTGGACCTGGAATTTGATGAGTCTGATGGAGAGGATCACGAGTTTGACGTCGATGAGTTCGAACAGGAAGCTAAAGTTGCAGTTAGGGAATACTCGTCGTCCTTATCCCGTGAATTGATAATCGGTTAGGTCTTTCGTGGGTTTCTGATTCAGGTTTTGTGAAATATTATGAAGTTCGCTCATTGTTCTATCACTGATTTTTGCTTGCAGAAGATGAGGCTGATACCAGAAAGGAATCTAGGAAGCAGAGGAGGAAGAAGCTCACAGTTAAAGAGGTTCAGTTCTTCATTTTGGCCTTTTTCTCACTTCCAGCTTCCTGGGTTTTAATACTTCAATTGTGTTCTATTGAAAGGTTCGGATCGTTGGGCGTCGTAGAGGTTGTAGATTTATAGTCTGAATTGTTGAATTCATCAATACATTAACCTGCAGATTCCAGATCATCTTCTCTCCAAGGTAGCCATTGTTGGGAGACCGAATGTTGGGAAATCAGCATTGTTTAACCGCCTTGTTGGGGTAAATTGAAAAAAACATGGTTCAAACTTTGCTGCTTCCAAGTCAATGGTAGTTTTCATTTCCTGAATCCAAACATTTTGTTACTTTCTTGATTGAAGGAGAACAATGCTATTGTGGTGGATGAACCTGGAGTTACTCGTGATCGTCTCTACGGAAGATCCTTTTGGGGTGATCATGAGTTCATGGTGGTGGATACCGGCGGAGTGATCACTGTGTCGAATTAAAAAAATGAGGTTATGGATGAACTTGCTATCACGACAACCATTGGCATGGAAGGAATTCCGCTTGCCTCTAGGGAAGCTGCGGTTGCCAGGATGCCCTCAATGATCGAGAAACAAGCAACTGCTGCTGTGGAGGAATCCTCTGCCATTATATTCCTTGTTGATGGACAGGTAAATAAACAACTCCCCCTTATCTTGTGATAACGAAATTGTCATCTTTTTGGGAGTGTGATATCTAAGCCTATTGAACAGGCAAGCCTCACAGCAGCTGATGTGGAGATAGCAGATTGGCTAAGAAAGCATTACTCCAACAAGTTTGTGATTCTTGCCGTCAATAAGTGTGAATCTCCAAAGAAAGGGATCATGCAAGTTTCAGTATTTTGGACATTGGGGTAAAAGTTCGATTTGCATCATCCTTCCTATGTCATTAATGAAACTTGGTAATGCATGTAGAAGACGCGGGCTTTCTTTGAGATGGATAAATTAATGCTGCTTGATATCCGTTATTTTGCCGATCAACCTAGGTTCTCGTCCCTCCCTATATCAGCTTTATCTGGACCTGGAACTGGGGAGCTCCTTGACCTTGTGTGTTCTGGACTAGCTAAATTAGAGGTTACCATTCTAGAATTTCCATAAATCTTTCTTCTAGTCCTAAGTACTAATGGACTACCATTCAAGCATTGCACCAAAACTCATTCCTATCTTTGGTTACTATAAATATGATAAAACCATTTCGCAGGTTTCAGAAGATCTCCATGAAGAACAAGATGAAGATTACGTTCCAGCAATTTCAATCGTTGGCCGGCCAAATGTTGGGAAAAGCAGCATTCTAAATGCATTGGTTGGTGAGGATAGAACTATAGTTAGCCCCATCAATGGAACTACACGTGATGCCATTGATACGGAATTTACAGGACCTGATGGCGAGGTTTGTTTTATCATAATATGCTTTGTTAGGGAAGCAGAAGATAGGAACAATAATTAACTTTCATTCTACCTTGTTCTCTTCTTTGTGTTTCAGTTCAGGACATGGGTGATTTGACCTCCCTAAGGTCACTGTTTTTGCAGAAGTTTCGACTCATCGATACAGCTGGAATCAGGAAAAGGGCCGTCGTGGCTTCTTCAGGTAGCACCACAGAGGCATTATCAGTGAACCCAGCATTTCGAGCCATTCGGCGTTCTGATGTTGTTGCTCTTGTCATTGAGGCCATGGCATGCATCACGGAGCAGGTAACTTGCTCTTTGCATCACACCATTTGTTACACCTCTCCTTTTCATGTTCATATCCCAACTCTGGCTCCAGTCTGTGACAAATTTAGGATTTTAAAATAGCCGAAAGAATTGAGAAGGAAGGTAAAGGCTGCCTGATAGTTGTTAATAAATGGGACACCATACCAAACAAAAACCAGCAGACTGCAGTGTACTACGAACAAGACGTGCGAGACTCTCAATCCAGGTAATCCCTTGAGTTGTCTCTTGTTCTGTGTTTAGTTCGATTTTCTCGGCGAACCAGATTCTTGAGTTTGAATTCCCAATTGGAAGAATCGAACCCTACTTTGCTCTTCCCAATTTCAGTCTCATTGATCGATCGATTATTACTTGATTTCATTTCAGAAATCATTGAAACCCTAAGTTTCGATTTCCGTTTCATTTGAACCGCCGGTCTGTTTGCTTCTTAGTTCTGGTCGACTTCTTCACTGGATAAGCAATTCCCCAGTCTACTATTTCATTCATATTTCTACTTGATTGGTATTTGACCATGAAGCTCTATGACCAGTGGAAAAGCTCTCAAAGAACATCTGTAGTTTTTTTTATGTTGCATTTCTTAGTTTGCAAGTTGAAAAGGACAATTCCCCCCACCCCACCCACATGAACGACATCAAGTTCTTAAAATTTTGAATTAGTGAAGTTTGTAAAGGTTTCAGTCTAATGGTTGTCTACTTTATCAATTGTTATGGCTTGTGTCATTGTTCTGGAGTTTGGCTATTGTGAAACGAAGAGTTTGATTAGTTTTTACCAACTGCTCATAAGCCATTTTAAAGCTGCCAATTCTACAAGATATAAATTTTGTTGCCCAATTCTAAGCTACTGCTTACAACTATGTACTGCTAGCTTAGTAGTTATAATGACTCCTCAATGCTCAAATACTAGGTGAATCCAGTACAAATAAGCAAACGATAGTCAGTATAATTATAAGAACGGCACCGTAGTGCAAGGCTGCTTCTCTCAATCAGATTCCATCCTTTCCTTCGCTTATCTTTTGTTTTACCTTATTGAGTTTCATTGTGTACCCAGGTAAATTGATAGGGACACCGTGCCTTGGTTTCATGGTCGGGGAGAGCTTTACTCCCATCAGTGGCTCGGGAGTGATCTGCGTTGGCCGGTTAGTGCTCCGCGATGAAGGCATGATGTACTGAGATGAGGGCAAGAAGTTTTTTGCCTAGGAAAGATTATGAATGCACATAACCTTCTTCTTTCCTTTATGCTGCTGAGCTTTCACTTGCATTCTACTGAAGAGGACTTAGGAACTCCAAGTTGAGGCGGTATTACATTCCCTGGTGCTGAAAGCCAAAGGAATTGCTGTTGATGTGTCATCTCAGGAAGACTGTTTGTGAAGGATCACCTAGGGTTCGAGTGACTAGGTGTCTGGAAACCTTTTTGCGAAGAAGTTGTGTCGTCAAGACGAACATTAGAAGGGAAACATGTAAACTTGGAATAAACCGTATGCAAAGTAGTGGACTTTCAATCTCTTGGCGCTAACATGCAGAGTTTTCTGCATTTCTGTCCCGTGTTTGTTTGAGGTTGCTGCAGATGCTCTAAATCATGTAGTTTTAGATGTAAGGCACTGCCACACCTTCTCCACGCCAAATTTGCATAAAGAAAAAAAAAAAAAAACAGTGTGCATGGTGGATTGAACACACTACCTTATGCATGTAAATATTCTCAATTGTCAATTAAGTCAAAGTCTTAAACCACTAGGCTGATCGCCTGCCATTCATAATGAAAGCAATCTCTTTTATTTTTATACAGACATCATCTTAAAACGTAAAATCGCATTGAATGTGCTAGGAATCCTTCGGTTTTAGGATTGCACCAACAACTCATCAACCATGATAAAGCTGCAAATTCTGCAGAGAAAGCAACATTAAACTCCATCCTAAACAACATTTCAGTTTGGCAGTCCAAAATGGGGAAAAAGCACCATCCATATAAGGACTTAACATACATGCATAACAGAGAATCTTAACAGCATACTAAATGACCATCATCGCCAAGCGGCCATCTGGATGGGCCGCCTTCACGAACCACCAGTTATCTTTGTCGAATTGGTCAGGCACACAGCGCACGCCGATCTTAGGAGGAAGCGGCCAGTCGTTGTGTTCTTCATCCACCTCCAACCAATTTGCCATCGGAAATGGCGAGACGCTCTCGTTGGTACTTGGATCATAAGTATAATGACAGTCAGGCGGCGACTCGATTTTGACACTGCGCCAAGTATCCTGTGGCACCGGCCGTCTTGTGCACAATACGTACTCGCCGAGGAACCGTATCGCACCCGTCCATGCCCATGGTTGGTTGCGACGTTGCTCCTGCTCTTGAAGTTCAGCCACTTGGTCCCTTAGCTTGCGCGTTTCGGCCGCATTTGTCATCACCAGTTCTTCCTTCTCTTTCCTTAGCCTTCCTGGCTCGACATCCTTCTCGTTCATCGACTTTCGCAGTGCTTCGTTATCATTCTTCAACTTGTGCCATTCATCACTATTCACCAGTATTTTCCCTTTCCCAGCAGCAGTTGCAGATGCAGCAGCTTTGTTTTCCTTTCTCAAATTCACCACTTCTTCCCTCAATGTTTTTACCTCCTCATCCTTCTCTTTGCTCAGCTTTGCTCCTTCCTCCTTTTCTCTTTTCAGTGTCTTCAATTCGTTGTTCTTTTGCTTCGACTCCTCGTCGTTCCTCTTTTGCACGATTGCAACTCGTCGTCTTTCCTCTTCATCATCACTCTCAGCTCCTCGTCCTTCGTCTGCTCCAACTTTCGCAGCTCCTCCGCGTGCTGTGCACTATCATCCTTCAACGTTTGTATCTCCCTGTCCTTCCTCTTTTTCACCATTCGTAACTCGTCGTCTTTCCTCTTCATCATCTCCCCGATCTCCTCGTCCTTTTCCTTCTCCAGCTCTCGTAGCTCCGTCTCCTGCTGTTCGGTTGCATCGTCCCTCTCATCTTTCAACCTCTGTATCTCCTTCTCTTGTTCCTCCACCTCCGCCCTCAGCTTTCTCAACTCCTCGTCCTTCTTGTTCACCGTCTTCTTCAAATCCTCGTACTTCTCCTTGCTCACCCCTCCGCTCGCCGCCGCCGCCCGCTTCTCCCGTTTCGGTACGGTGTACTTCAGCATGAGGCGTTGCCACACGCTAACGCCCGCCATGTCGACCCCGTGATCCGGCCAGTTGAAAAGATCGTTCAGTCGGAGATAGTTAATTCCAAAGTCTTTGTGTTCTCCCAACTCGACAGCGTCTTGAAAACTGTGCCCCCGGGGGCTCACCCTCAACTGTAGGCAGGCGAGGTGTTGGGCTAGCTTGGTCAACGCCTCCTGTCCCTCGATCTTCCCGTGACCATCAAAGAACATCAGCCCGCGGTAAGACTTCTCCTCCTCCTCCTCCTCCTCCTCCTCGTCTTCGTGGGTGGCGTCGCCACCATCGCGATCAGGAGCAGGAGCGATGGTGGCGACTTCCCTCCAATGGGTCTTTCTGATGTGGGAAGGATGGATGGTGGGGTTGGTCAGCGCGTAGACTTTGAGGGTAGTTTTGTCGGAGGAAGCAACGAAGTGCGTGTCTGACTTGAAATCAAACAGAGCCATAAGATCGATCGACCGACCGATCGATCTTGATGCCTGGTCGAAGATTGGGATGGTGGGATCTAATGTTAATTTGGTAACAAGGTGAAATGTAGCCAGGTGAGGGATACTTGCAGAATTTGTAATGTGCCCACCATATCAATTATATAGGAGTGTCGAAATTTAGTGTAGTTTGCAGGATTAAAATTATTGTAAGACGAGTCAACGGTGGAAGTAATGAAATTAGTTGCATTATAAATTTCTTTGGAAACACGGGCCTTATAAAAAACAATAATAGTAACGACTTTGATTAGTAAATACTAAATAGTAAGTTGCAGTCATTTTTAATTATTTTTGGCGTTTACTAAGGCAATAACCCTAATACTCAACGCTATTGAGATAAATAAATAAAGACTTGAGCGACCAGTCCAGCGTGGTTGGTCAGTCACTCACTCCACATGATGTGAAATAATTAGGTCATTTAAAATAAAATCATGTTAATGATCGTAGACTCGTTATCATCATTGATTTCATCGATATCGTCATCACCATAGTCATTGCCGTCAAGAAATAATTTGCCCAAACTTTATTATCATGGTTCAAACTTAGGTAGTCAGTTCGCAGAGCGGGGGCAGGAGCGAGAGGGTGAGCGTGACTGCGTGAGGACGTGTATTTAAAAAATATATTAATATTGAGAGCGTGAATATAGCATACTATTACCGTTAAGAAATGCGGAAACTTCATGGTATAAAAAATATGTTAGATACGATAAGTGTTACTCTTACGAGAGAAAAGTATCCCTTAAAATTTTATTTACTGTTTTAGAATTTCTGGTGGTTGGCATCTTCCTAATATCATCTATACAAGAATGCAATCATTTTAGACTACAATATATTGGAATTATCATAGGGGGCAGAGCCATAAATTTGAATAAGAGGAAGCTAATGCAAATCGTTGTAATTGTGGAGAAAGGACTAAGGCCATACCGACTACTGTATTTTCTAAATTTACCAGTGATTTTACATGCACTTTTACCTTTATGTCAAAGTTGAGGGGGCTTAGCCCCTGATAATTTCAACCTAACTCCATTACTGCTAAACATTAACACCGTGGTATAGACAGTTAATATATATGCCTCGATTTTTTTTTGTTCTAAAATATATCAAACTCGATATCATTTTGAAAAACATGATTAATTTAATTTTGTATACATAAATTTTTGAATTCCAACTTAAAATGAAAATAATATAATCCATTAAAATTAATTGGCAAAAAATACTCCTTTAGTTTTGCAAGAGCTGGCCTGATAGTATAATAGTTTAATGACACAAAAAACAATAAAGGGTAAATTGCATGATTGGTCACTATCATAGTATCATTGCTTAAAAGGTTCATGTTGAGTTACTAAAAATATTTAATTTCATTCGTGGTCACTAGGTTTAGCAAAACGGTTGGTCACTTTCCGTCCAATTCTTTTAACTTTGTTTGATGTGCGAGTCAACTCTCATAGTTGACCGTTAAATATGACATGACAATTAAAAAATAAAATAAATAAATTTAAAATTTCAACCTCAATATCACTACTTTTAAAAATAAAACATATTCATTTTATTTCTCTAAACCTCACGAACTAACTTCACCCTTCTTTCTCACTGTGTTGTCTGAGATTTCTAACCTTCAGACAATTCTTAGCTATGCAAGCTCTTCACTAAAGGAACTTCATTCATTGCAAATGATAATAAAAAACAAGTTATCGACATATGCCAAAAGCATTTTATTTATATTTTTTTTGAACTTTAATTATATTTTGTTGTAATATCTTTTACCTTAAACCACAAACACTATGAATACTGATTTCTGATTTCTGGAACATTAAAATCTCCATTGCAGCAATGCAAGAATGCTAGTGGCAAAGCGAATGCTGCGATCCCTTTAACATGGTCAAATTAAATAATTCTATATTTTCAACGGGATAAATGGATTACAAATCGAAACCTATAGCGTAATTTAGGGCTGTAAACGAGCCGAGCCGAGTCGACTTTTTGCTTAGCTTGAGCTCGGCTCGTTTATTAATTTTTTAGCTCGAGCTCGGCTCGAACTCGAATTTTGATAATCTAGCTCGAGCTCGACTCAGTAGAGCTCGATAATTGCTCATTAACATAGCTTGTCAAGCTGAGTACAAGCTCGGCTGAAGATGAGCTTGATTTAAAATCATTCTTGCTGGAAAAATGTTTTAACATAAGAATTTAAATGATAGAAAGAACACTAAAAACTATAAATAACATCTAAATTTCATACACATTTGTATTAACAAGACAATGTTCATGTTTAAAAGAGTAATCCATCCTTCCACAAGCTCTAAACAAGGCAGCTCGCGAGCTTAGCTCACCAAGCCACCGAATCAAGCTAGCTCGCGAGCTTATCAAGCTGAGCATGGTCTAGCTCAAGCTTGGCTCGTTAACTAACAAGTTAGCTCGCGAGCCGGCTTGTTAAATAACGAGTCGAGTGTCGAACGAGTTTTTTCGATTCGAACGCCGAGTTGCTCGCGAGCGGCTTGACTCATTTGCAGCCCTAAGCGTATCACATGCTAATTATATAGTAGCCTTTTAATATGTAAGCAAACCATATATTTGTAACAATTTACTAAACCGTAGTGTACGCGATACACCCAAAATTGGATGAAATCCCATAGTACATATATTTTTTTAAAAAATTCTCAAAATACACACGTTATAAAAAAAATTTCCAAAATACACATGTTTGTGCATCACCGCTGTTGTCAACCGCAGTGATTGCATTCACCACGGCAGACCAAAGCGGTGAATGCATCACCGCGGTTGACGACCGCGGTGAATGCCTGACGTAACACTGAAACTTCAAACAAACGTAACTTTGCGCTCGGTTATCCGATTGTAGCGAATTTTTTTTATTCCATATAACTTTTCAAGATCTTTCAATCTGCAGAAATACTTAATCTAAAAAAAATGTCGTTTGTTACCCAGAACGAGCAATTTTTCGATTTTGCCAAACTTTAGAAGACCATAACTTTTAGCTCGTCAATCCGAACGTCGTAAACATTTTTTTGATTGCGCATAACTTTGTAAGAACTACAACTTTTACTATGAAATAATTTTTTTTAAAAAAAATATTTTTGGGTATACGGGATTTTGGCAATAACTTTGCCTTTACTTTTCACAAATCCACATACTTTCCAAAATTATGGTTATAATAAAAGTTGTAGTACTTCAAAAGTTATGCGTAATCAAAAAAAGTTTCATGACATTCGGATTGTGGAACACAAAGTTATTGTCTTTCAAAGTTTGTCAAAATCGAAAAATTGCTCGTTCGGGGTAGCAAACGAATTTTTTTGGGATGAAGGCTTGTTGCAGATTGAAATATTTTGAAAAATTATGTGGAATAAAAAAAAATCGCTACAATCGGATAACCGAGCGCAAAGTTACGTTTGTTTGAAGTTTCAGTGTTATGTCAGGCATTCACTGCGGCCGTCAACCGCGGTGATGCATTCACCGCTTTGATCTGCCGCGGCGAATGCAATCACTGCGGTTGACAACAGCGGTGATGCCCAAACATGTGTATTTTGGGAAAAAATTTTATAACGCGTGTATTTTGGGATTTTTTTAAAAAAACATGTGTATTTTAGGATTTCCCCCCCCCCAAAATTAGGGATGCACTATAGACTTGCTTTGATTTTCAATTAGCTGAAGTGACTAATTAAAACTAGACCTTAAACCTTACACACTTTGCTGAAAAAACAAATTAATCCTAATTCATAATCTAACTAATGATGACTATAAACATTATGGATTTCGATGAATGTATAAAAATTTACAATCGTGACATGAAAGAGTAGATTAGGTATGAATATGATCAGTGACCGAACCGAGAAATTATATTAAGGGATATTTTGTAATAAAAGTGTTTGAATTTTTTTTTGAAAGAATTAATATCACAGTAAATAAAAACGGTGGATCTGCATCAATAGAGCGAATATTGAAAGCTTGTATTCTTACTTGATGATGCACTCTACATATGGTTCCTAATCTCTTACATCAATGCAGCAATGTCGTCGTCTCAAGAGGCTACTCATTGTAGTTTCATTCATATGATCCATCAAACTAATTCACATTCCTTCCTTTCAAGCAAGTTTCACATAATCAAAGGTGAAACCTTCTCTCTCTCAAATACAAAATTTGGGAGTTTGTTGGTGTTTCCTTGTTGGTTATTTGTTGTTTTCGAATAGATATGACTATATTTGTCAAAATGTGAAAGTTATGACTATACAAGTGTATTTTGCCTTTCGGTTTTGGCATTAATGGAAGGATACACTCTAACACCCACCACAATGAAGTTACTGCCCCTGGGTAAAAGAGAGTAAACTGAAAACTTGGTGGTGGTAAAAAGTGAGGGTAAAAATTTAGCATCCTAAAAATGGTTAAAAATACAAGCTAAGGACAACTCATGTAAGAAGAGGGCAATCCTAATCTCCTCCATTTTGAGCGGGAAATGAAGGTAGCGGTGGTAAAATTTCCCCTAGTAGATGCTGCAGAAACCTGACACCCAAAATCCTTCCTTTAACCTTTCTTTGCAAAGAGAAAGAGAAAGCAAGCTGCTCCTCAACTGAACCAGGCAGCCTGCTAGAAAACCAACCTCTCTCTAGCAAGTTTTCTCCTTCTCCTTTCCCTTCCTCAAACCCTACAGAGCAACAAGTGTTTCTCCTCCCGAGTTTGAGATCTCTTGCTGTTTGAAAACCAACCTCAAGCATGGCATATTTCCTCAAGCATCTCACTGAGGAGATAATGGCACTCAAGAAACTGGTAAGAACGCTTTAAAGTTTTGTCCTTTCACTTTTCATGTTCAAGATTCCAGTTAGGGTTTTGTAGAACCTACTGTCAAACTTTTGCCTGTTCTTTTCATGTATCAGCTGATTCCACCGGAGTTTATTAGTAACTGTGGGAGGGTAAATCTGACCAACCCGGTAGTTCTGGAACCAACTGTTGGAGATCCACCAGAGGTGGAGTTGGAGCTCTACGAGGATGCCAGGGGTTTTTGGCTGAGAAATGGCTGGCAGGAGTTTGCAGATCGATATTCTCTCACTCATGGCAACTATCTGCTGTTCGAGTACAAAAGCTTCTCCAGGTTCAAGCTTGTGATGTTTGGTGCAAACGGGGTGGACGTGATGTGTCCAGCTTCTAGCTTCCACAATGTGGGTTCGAATCGAAATAACCAGGAGTTTCCAGAGGCTGAGCGGGAAGAAGAGATCAGGGGTACAGACTCTGCCCTTGTCACTATAAATCTCTTTAAGTTTTGGGTTTATCTGATTTGCCTTTATGCTGAGTTTTCGCAGGCTCACCTGTGGCTGGAGATGGTGGGAGGCAGCCAGCCCGGCCTCGGTCTGCAGAGAATGCCAAGCAGAAAACTTTCATGGCTACTAGTGAGTGTAGGTTCGGTTTAGAACATTAGGAAAAGGGAGAAAGAGTCACAAGTTTGATGATCCTTTCATTGATTTCTGCAGGGAAGGGGAGAACTGCTGATGGTGGACAGAGGGGTAAGAGGAGCCAGTTTGGTAGGGATAGGGCTGAGACCTCACACATTCCAGCCATGGCTGAACATGCTGAAGGTTCATTTCTTTTTTTTTTTTTTGTAGCTTCCAAGCTTTGTCAAACTGAAATGTGATTTCTTCTTCCAAGTCTAATGTAGTGTATGAAATTCAGAATTGCCTGAACTTCATATTGACCCAATTGAATGCAGGAATGCCAAAGCCAGGGAGGGTAAATACCTCCACAAGCTCGGTCAGTCCAAGCTTCTTCATTACCATAAATCCAAATCACATGAAGAATCATTTAGTGGTAGGCTCGCTCATTTGCCATCGACCCAATTCACATTTCCCTTTTCTTCTTTCAAGCAGGCTTCGCTCAAGAAAAATTGATTTCTCCATTTTTTTTTTCTCTCACTAAATATGCAATATCTGCCGACTGATTTCGTGTTCAAACACATGAAGCTTGAGAATAGCACTGTGATGGTTTATAGTGATGATGGGACGGGCGCATGGCTCTTGTCCTTTGTCTTCAAACAACGAAGTAAAAGCGAACGTGGACGAGGCATATTCTGTGGCGGTTGGTCAGCGTTCTGCGAGGACAACTCTCTGAAATCAGGGGATATCTGCCGATTCAAGCTCATCTCCCGTGATGAGATGGAAGTGACGATTGAGAGGAATTGAGTTAGCTTTTCGAACCTCTAGAATGAAAGCTTTGGTTGTGTTGTGTGTCACCCTTTTGAGTTCCTGAAACTTCAATGATGTTGTTTCTGGATAGAACTCTGCAGTACACTCTGCATCTATATTTCCCCCAGAATGTATTGTGATCGTTTCGTATTCATAGCTCTGAAAATTCCGAAATCGGAAATCCAAACACATCGATCGAAGTAGCTAATGAACCATGATATGCTATATCGAAGTACCTTGTAAGTTTACTAGCGAGTGCAAATGTGACAATGTTCACACTTCACAGAGAAAATGATGCACTTGAAACAAGCAAAGGATCAAAGAAACTTAGCTCTTCTTTAACATGTGAGACAGTTAAATTGATACCAAGCTAGGTGCAGTAGCTGTGTTATATACCTGGGAAACTGAATAAAGATTTGAACTTTGCAGCAATGAACACTTGAATTGAGTAATATCTGTTGCAGGCGAACTTGGAGGGAGGTCAGCTTGATGCACCTGCAACAATGGCAATCTTCACAAGATGAAGAGAGCAGCAGGAAAGCTTGTAACTATGCCTCCATACATCAAAGGAGGCTTTTTTTTTTGTAAATTTTCACAACTTCAGTGGCTTTTGAGGGGCTTTTTGTATTTTCTTACATCTTTGCGTTTCAGGATTTTCCCCTCTTCCAAAGCAGAAGAAGAGAGGAAGAGGAAGCGAAAAGGTTCGCAGAGCAGAAGCCATGAACGCACCCGATCGTTACGAGCGATTCGTCGTCCCCGAAGGCACCAAGAAGTAATTTTTTTCAAATACCCATCTCCATTCTCTCTGCGAATCTCTCCTGAAAACCCCATTTTCCCTTAATTCGACTGTAATTTCTCTCTCGTTTCTTATTGGTTTGCTGATCTTCTAGGGTTTCATACGAGAGGGACACCAAGATCATAAATGCCGCCTCCTTCATTATAGAGAGGGAGGAGCACACAATCGGCAACATACGGCGCATGTAAGCTTTGCTTTTTCTCTGGAGTTGTAGAAATCTTCTGTCTTTTCTCTCTTTCTTTTTACCTTGTCTTGCTTGAGCTCTCATTGTTTCCTTCGCCTTAGGGGTGTTCAAACGGATGAAAAACCATGGTAACCATTTTAACCAATAGCATTTGGTTAATTTGATTTGGTTAATTTGGTTAATTGGTTTTGTTTGGTTAATTTTTATAGTTAATTTGGTTTAACTGGTTTGGTGTGGTTAAAGACTATGCTAACCAGTTAAACCAATTAATCAATTATCTATAGGCATATAATTTCTATGGGCTTATTTACATTTCACTTAGACACTTAACATAATTACTAATTTACTATGATTGAGAGGCCCAACCCCAAGATCCACTTAGCCCAACTCCAAAGTCCACACTGTTCGTCCACATTCCAGGGATTCCATAAGATCAAAACTCCAACCCACGTTCATATCTTGTCCACATATCTTGTCCACATATTTATTTGCTAGTAAAAAAAAACAATTTACCTCAAATTGAAATACATGGTCGTGAACCCACCACCACCGATTTCCATCTCAAAAGTAGAACCCCTTTTTGTTTGTGCTCCCACCACTGCATCCACCTTCGGCAACCCCAATTCCTCATTCTCATTCCTTCGTACCGTCACTTCTCATCCTTTCAAGGTAAAGTTCTCTTCTTTGGTTGGCGTTTCTTTCTGGCTCTTTGATTTGCTTTCCATGGCTGATTTGGTAAATTGTTGTGCGTACTGCCTTTTTGCAGAAGAACCCTCCAAGAATGACATCTAAATCAACACCAGCTACTGTCGAAGCATCACCACAACCATCTCCTGTTGCTGATGGTACTACGAATGTTGCAGTGGCATCTTCTGAAAATAGTCCTCCATTGCCACCTCGTACCAAACTGAAGAGAAAGAAGAGAAGAGTTACAACAAAACTAAGGTCAGATGTTTGGCCCCAGTTTGTTAGATATAAAGAGGATAATGCCGACAAGTCTAGGTGTAAGTTGTGTGGTAAGGTTTAGTTCGGTGATACGACATCAAATGGAACTAGTGCTTTAAGATATCATAGGCTTTCTTGCAATGAACAGATAGTTTCTCAAAATCAACAACTGCTGAACTTGAAACCTGGTCAAGATGGGGATGGGAGACTCAAGAATTGGAGTTTTAATCAAGATGCAGTTAGAAAGGCTGTAGCACGCATGATTATTGTTGATGAAGAGCCTTTTAGAGTTGTTGACAGAGAAGGGTTTAGGCATTTGATGGAAAATGCATGTCCACGGTTTCGAATGCCTTCAAGAACTACCATTACAAGGGATTGCTTTAAGCTTTTTCTTGATGAGAAGGATTTACTGAAACAATCCCTTAAGAAGTTTGGTGGGAGGATCTCTTTAACAACAGACACATGGACATCACTCCAGAACATCAGCTATATGACTCTTACTGGCCACTATATAGATGATGATTGGAAATTGAAGAAGAAGATCTTGAATTTCTGCACAGTTTCTTCTCACAAGGGTAGGGATTTAGGAGAAAGTATTGAAATGTGCTTACGTGAATGGGATATTGAGAAAGTATTTGTCATTGTTGTGGATAATGCTTCTGCAAATGATGTGGCGGTAGAGTACTTAAAAGAGAGGCTGCTTGTTCGAGGAACTGCTATTTCAAGTGGGAAGCATTTACATACGCGGTGTGCTGCCCATATAATCAACTTGATTGTCAATGATGGTTTAAAGGGGCATCATCCATCAATAAGAAGGGTGAGAGAGGCTGTTAAGTACATAAGGTCTTCTCCTTCTAGGATAGTGAAGTTTAAGGAATGCATTAAACTTGAAAATATAGAAGGGAAGAGCCTGCTTTGCTTGGATGTGCCAACTAGGTGGAACTCAACCTATTTAATGTTGAGCACAGCTGAAAATTTTCAAAGGGCATTTGATAGGTATGAGGGGATGGATGGGTACTACATTTCAGATTTGCTTCAGAAAGATGATGCTGCAATTGGAGGGCCTCCAACTTCTCTAGATTGGGACAATGTCAGAAAAGTGGTAATCTTCTTGCAACATTTCTATGACATAACACTCAAAGTTTCTGGTTCATCCTAAGTGACATCTTGCTCATTTTTTGATGATTTGAGTGTTATTCATGCAATGTTAAGTAAGTGGGAAAGTGGTTCTGACCTTGATCTACGTCATATGGCTTCGAAGATGAAGATAAAGTACAACAAGTATTGGGGGGATTTCGAAAAAGTTAATAAATTGATTTATATTGCGTTTGTGCTGGATCCCAGAGAGAAGTTCGAGTATTTGGTATTTACTCTTTCTGAAATGTATGGAGAAGAAACCGGAGAAGAATATGGGGAGAAGGTAAAAAAGGAAATGTCTGAAATGTATGATGAATATAGAATGATGAATATAAACCCAAGTGAACAAGTTGTGCACAGTTCTGATTCCGCTGTCAATGAAATGGGAATCAGTTCAAGTGGCATTGGAAACACATCAGAGTCAGAGAAGCAGAAAATCATGAGGAAGTCTCGTTTCAAGCAACGCAAGTTAGAATCTGGTGTGGCGTCGAGTAAGAATGAGTTGGATAAGTACTTAATGGAACAAGTTGAAGAGGAATGTGCTGACTTTGATATCTTAAATTGGTGGAAGATGAACAGCCCTAGATTTCCAGTCTTATCTTGTATGGCTAGGGATGTTCTTGCTATACCCATCTCCACAGTGGCTTCTGAATCTGCTTTTAGCACTGGTGGTAGAGTTCTCGATGAGTATAGGAGTTCTTTAACTCCTACAATGGCAGAAGCTCTCCTTTGTGGCCAAGATTGGGTGAGATCATTTCCTAAAAGTTCAAATGCAGAAGAAGATCTACAAGAATTGGCAAATCTGGAAGAGGGTAAGTGCTAATGTGAGTTTAGATTTTACTTTATACTTTTTAGTTTGATATTTGATTCTAAAACATTTGTGCATTTGTACAGCAGTAGGGGCTATCTCTATCAATAATGTTGACAAATAACACCTAATCTGGTCATCAATGCCCACCATTCAGGTATGACTATACCACAATTCAGTTTATACATACATTAAAGTTTAGTAACTTGAACCTTCTATGCTTAATAATGACTGATTGTGTTTTATTTTGGTTTCAGTTTAGGAGGAGCAGGTGGGAGTACATCATGTAACTAAGTGGGGGTGACAACTGTGAAGTGAAGCTATTTTGTGTTTGGATGACAATAGGGAATACAACATCATGATATTTTGTAAAGGCCATTAAGACTTGGGGGTTGGTAAAGCATCATGATATTTTGTGTAGTGTTTTTAGAGAAACACTATGGAGTTCTGGTATTGTAAATTGTAATTCCACTAATGGTTTTTCTAGGAATAACTCTAAACTTCCGGGCATAGGTTAACTAATTTTATGTAATTATGTTAACAGGTTTGGCTAGTTGTATCAGTTGTATTGATGACGATTAACGCCTCTTGACGATGATGAATGTTGTTTGATGCATTGATAAGAGTATCACTTTCATGTTAAGTTATGTTATATTGGTTAAATCAATTAACCAGTTAACCAAACCGTTTAAACTTTGGTTTGGTTAATTTGGTTTCTGTATTAGTTTGGTTGGTGTGGTTAAGTTTTTTGGTTCCATGGTTAATAGTATTTAGCCTTAAATGGTTTGGTTAAGCCATGGTAACCATTTGAACACCCCTACTTCGCCTTATGGCTGAGCACTGAGCAGGCAGCTTCACTTGGACGAGAATGCTCTGTTTGCTGGATACAAGCTGCCTCACCCTCTGCAGTACAAAATCATTATCAGGGTGAGTGCGTTATGTGATGATTTAGAGGAAAGATTGTGCCTTTCATTTCTCTTCCTCGTGGGGGTTAAGGTTTGTCTTAATGGGTAGAGGCGGCAACAGGCGTATGTCGAATTCCTGAATCCAGTTTCTGTTCACAGCTTCGATATGCTATATGCTGTTAATGGTTCTGGTGCTACTTGAGGGAAATTAATTTTATCTATGTTGCTTCTGCTGTTCAGTGGAAGCGAAGGCTTTTGATTACATAATCTCAGTAGAATAAGGGCATGCACCTCCCAGTTGATCCTCTTCTGTTATCCTTGCGGTTTGTTGAAGAGAATGGATGGGTTGGTTGTAGATGAAAATCCTATTGGTGCAAAGTTCAGTTCTCAACCCTCCTCTGTCCCAGCCCACACCTCCATTTCTGTTTGGAGTTGGATGACAAAGTTTTGTTGGACGACGATGGTGAATGTTCCTGTGTGGTGTTGAATGATTTCTCTAGGGTTCTAACCAGCTTGATGCTGCTTTGTAGATTCACACCACCGGTCAGTCTTCACCAATGCAGGCATATAACCTGGCCATCAATGATCTTGACAAGGAACTTGACCACTTGAGATCTGCGTTCGAGGTATGGAATATTGCTACCACTTTCTTGACTTGAGAGGCTTCTCTATGTCAATGATTTATGTAATAAGTACTAAGCAAGCTAAAGGCATTCATTGATCCTGATTTTTTTTTTCCTCCCTTCTTAATTCTGTTTGTAGGATGAGATTGCCAACCATTCGGAGTACTAGGAATTACTGATGGAGTCAGAGCTGAGGATTTGCCAGTTAGATTAGAGTACTGAACGTAGCTTGAGCAAAAAAATGTAGACGATCTCCCAGGGCATCTGACTTGTACGTTAGACTGGGAGTTAAAGAGTTCGTGTGCAGCTCTGCTATTGTTTAGAGTACATAGGAGACCTCGGACGATACTACTCTAGATGATCTGTTCCCAGTTCCTTGTTTTCTGCAATGCTTCAGTTTTCGAATTTGGTAAAATCACAGAAGCAATGCTTGAATGGAATACCCTGCCTGCTGTAAGGATGGTTGAATACATGATAGTAGAAGTATTACTAACTATCATTTACGACTTTGAACATTGTGTACTATAAGATACCATCCCATACCAGGGTGGTATGGAGTGGTCCTTTTTGGTAATGTATTTTTTCACCCAGAAATTTATAGATACAATTTATCATGATGAACTCGTTTTTTCTGTGTCAATATTTTAAAAAACGACTTAAATACCATATGGTATGAAGTTGGTAATGAGAGGTATAAAACATTTTTTCTCAAGAAATATTGAAAATGAATCTCATTTTGTATAGCACAACGAACTTGTTCCATCTATACAAAAAATAAATGAAATTCAAGTTAGAACGAAGAAAATAAGGATCGATTAAGAAAAATAATGAAAATGAATTTTCTATAATTGTCAAGCATTAGATCTGTATTTTTTCTGAGCCCACTCAAAACTAAGTGTTCAGATTTTGTTACTCTGGAGTAGGGTTGTTAATGAGCCGAGCTATTCGTGAGTAGCTCGGTCTTGAAGTCGATAAAAGCTCGTTCGATTAAAAAAAAAAAGTTTAGCTCGTTAATAAACGAGCCTAGCCTAAGCTCTACCTTATTCGGCTCGTGAACTAGCTCGATTAAGTGGCTCGTTAAATACAACTCATGAACTGTCTCGTTTTGAGCTTAAAAGATTCCCCAACATTGTGATTAGAGAGCCAACTCAACTACGGCTTATGAGAAAATCAATCTAGATTTTATGAATTGGTTTGTTAATGATGCACTAGAATCAATACCCGCGACATACGCCGCAGGAACTAAAGTTGCCACAACTTGATGGTATGATGGCCAATTTAGGTGATGCCAAATTGATGGATTGTGATAGTAACAACAACATCAGTTTTAAAAGTTTTGGGAGCCTGTGCAGGAGATTTTTGTATTTTTCAGTTCCATGTTAATCAACATGGTGTTTTTGCCAACGTGCATGTTTGTTACGGTAAAAAAATCAGAGAAGAGGGGAAGAAAGAGAAGTACATATAAATTTGTATGTAAGCAAATCTCGACAGTGAAACAGTGCACTTTTTAAGCAACATGAGGTCCATATTCTGAAACCGAAAGTAAAAAGCATATAAAAGCATATACATAATCAAGAAACAATGACCGAAAAGACAAATAGTTGTTCTACTATGCATAGTGTACATAAACACAGTACAGGCAGACGGTCAAAGCAAACGGAAGTTAATAGTTACTCTGTTGCAAAAGAATGGAGAGAAAGAAAAAAAAGGACCTTGCCAATCCAAATTTCCCCAACAACAATGGAAGTTAACAGCAAAAGGAGCTGCTTGCAAATCCAAACTTCTTGAATGAATCGTTTATGATCCAAACTTTCTAATGGATGTTGTATCCTAGAACCCATAAAAGCTTAAATTAACTCTACAATTTCTACATAACTGAGTGAAAGTGCATTTTGTGAAAGACACCATGGAGATTCATAAAAAAAGACAATTTTGACAGCAGTTTCAGCCTGCTTCGTTTCACATTCAAGCTCTAGTATCTCATACTCGCCCTTGAGCTCTTCATAGTCATTGTTCCTCACTTGAATTTCAGTTTAAAGCCTGAGAATCTCGCTTTAGTCCCTCAATCCCCTTCCATTCGGTTACATTTGAACTCAACACACTTTCCACCTCCAAGGCCAGAGCTGTCTTCCTTGCTGACTGCGGTTCATCGAATTCAACCAAATGAGTTATATTAGCAGTAGAGCCAAGAATACACGACAAATTGCCTCTCGAGAACACATACCCGCAAAGGAACAGCAAGGCAGGAACATTGGGAACAAACCAAGCTATAATGGCAAAAAGCCGGACAACGCCAAAATGTCAATGTTAAAGGCAAGCAATATACATCTACTATTTACGCATTGAGGATTACCCGTAAATCATTAAGGCTATACTATAGCAAAAATCCTAGACTCGTTAGGAAGCATAAGCACGAAGTAATAAACAATCACGCCATTATAGAAATGACAACAACCAGCTACTTCGAGCAATGATACATTAATTGAAGAATATGTTTGAAATTTCAAACCATCTGATCCTAACAGTTCTCAAGAAATATTTGAATTATTCGAAATAACATGAAGCTTAGCTGGATTAAATGAACACAAACATCATAAAACTAACATAAAGCAGTCAACCAAGTGTACAAATTGGCTAGCAAATTCAGTTATTGTACTCTAACTCTTTGCCAAGCTGCCCCGTATTATCAGCAAGGCTTTGTGTACTTTTTCCTTTGCCTAAAGAAGATCAAACAACACAGCAAGGAGGGAATGCCTAAAAAGGCATAGCACAAAAGGGATTCAAGGTCCATATGAAAATTATAGTATACTAACTTAAGAGCCAATCAAAATAAGCAAAACCCAGATCTGCTTGTTCATCAACTTCCCATTCCTCGATGTTCCTTTTCTTGGCTCCATGGGTATTTTAGGCTGCCTTGATTCCAAAAAAATTCAATATTATCTGTTGCCTTCACCATTTGCACCGAATGAACCACACTAAAAAACAAAATGTAAGGCATATCAGTAAACTTCTAAATAGAACTCAAGGCTTGGATAGATAATCCAACATCACTAAATAGCCTTATCTAACAGATGAAGCTTATCGAGGACAGAGCAAATAGAATTACAATAATGAAGCACTGAACTCAACAACTCATAAGTCATAATGAAATTGATCTGCTATTTGGATTTCAATTTACCTTGATATAACTACGACAATGGTTGACTAACAATCTTGAGGCGTTGAACCTCTTACCATGCTCTTCTGTGTGAAACTAATTCTAGTGTTTCACCTCGTCATAGAGTAACAATGGATTTAAAGAATGAAAACAAATAGGATAATAAGATCTAAATATGAATTTTATGTTTCCCTAGAAGTTTCCAATGGTATGATATACAGATAGGTGGGATAGACAATACCCATAGAAAAGCAGTTAAGACTTATAAAGGGAAAGGAAAATGAAAAAAATATGAGATTTTAACAGCTTACCTGAAATATAGTTATGCCAACGTGATCGTGGGCAAGGAAAGAAGCTATTGCAGAAGCACACAACCAAGAAAGTAGATGTACATCAATCCAAATCATCCAAACGGAGAAGCTCATATGAACTTAGCTTGTAATGGCCTTAGCCTCTAATTACCTTAAGTATAACACAATTAGAATATGGCACAGTAGACGTCAAGTCTAGAACAGCAGGTTGCATACAACTAACTCCTTAGTTGAGGTCACTATAACAGACAAACAATTGAAGTCTTAGAAAATCATTTAGAAAATCATGTATGCCACCTCTAGTTTAAAAAAGTGAGAACCTTAAAGCACTTGAATTTTAATTTTCATCATCCTTCTCACCTTCCTCTACCTCTCTGGATTGCCCTTAGAATGAATCTGGCATTACCTTCTATAACTGAAGTCTCCTCTGCAGCTGTTGGGACTGAAGGGGTTGCTTCCAATTGGCCAACTGAATTAGTTATTATTGCAAACATTGATCTACTTTAGAGGAAACCAATATCACAGAATATTACACAAAAGAGAACCTAAAAGTAAAGACAAACATCTACTATGGTAGAGGAACCCATAGAACTTGGTTGGAAACAAACTGAGGCTTGAACAATTACCCAGTTTGGAGATATGCAGAGGAAGGCCAAAGCAGTGAGATTAGCTTCTCCAACTTGTTGCCACAACCCTGGACACAACCGCGTCATGTTCTGGTGCTGCTTTTCTGGCGAGAATCCTAAAGATGAATGCAAATCATTAGAAATGAAATTCACCAAGGCAGTGACGGTAATCGATCATTAACTGTAAAAAGATATTTAAATTGCTTGTTTCCATACACCTCACAGAACATCACTTACCATTGCTTGATTCAAACAGGAGTTATGATACTGTTGTCCACTCCCCTTGCTCGAGTGTGCATACTCTCCAATATTGTTATTGGGTCGCCGCGAATTGAACCAAATTTCTTGCCAATGTCCAGCTGGGGCTCATCTCTGTTCATCTTCATTGGATTTAGAGAGAGAGACATAGAGGAGAAGGAGAAACTTTGCGAGTAATACTGGGGTCTCAGACAAACGAAATCGAAAGATATGGTGGAAGGAGGGGTTGGATATTGGGAAAGGAGTTGCGAAGATATGGGTTCCTCCATGGACGTTTGCGTGTTGAAGTGGGTTGCAGATGAGAAAAGGGACAAAAGTAGTTGTACAATTGATAGGCAGTAGTGTCTCGAGCAGAAGCGGAGTGGCCTACTGAGCGGAAAGGCAGGGTCCCCGGGAAAGAGCCGAAGGCAGTTCGGCATGGTCGAAGGACGAAGGGACAGAAGGCGACCCGTACTTGCAGATTCGCCGCAAGGCCGCATGGGTTAGGGGTACGAAAAGGATGGGCGACGAATCGATTGAGATCAGGCGGCGAGACGGCGGTGACTTGACCTAAGCAAGGAGGCGGGAGCTCGGCAAACGGCAACGACTCCGTCGTGGGGAGCTAGGTGTGAGAAAAACCAGAAACCCCTTTGCAGTAAACGACAAATAGTGAAACAGTAGTTACAATTTTGGCCAATAAAGCGTACCGGGCTTTTATATTTTAAAGAATATAGTGTTTATTACGTATACTAGTAAGAAACACTTAGATGACTTCTTGTGCCATTGTCGAGATCCCGATACCTGCTGCAGAATCCCTAGTCTTTGTTATTCCTTTATATGGAAGAAGAAGAAGAAAAAAAAGTCTTTCTTAATCCTTTGTGTTTCTTTCTACGTACTCCTGTCGTCGGTCGTCATTGCTATAGGCTATAGCTGCGGTCAGAATAATCAATCAATGCAAATTTCCAGCAAACTTAATCTAAGACAATTCGTTGCATATTAGTTTATGTTATTGAGGCATTATATATATATATCACCCCATCTCAATCCTTATCTATATCCATCTATCCCCGACTATCCAACTCTCTCACTAGCTACAAAATATTCCAGCACCACCTACTCTCTCTCCATCTCGATCGAGAAGAGCTTGCAATGGCTCTCTTCGATTTCAAGTCGGACAAGCACTTCGTTACCTCCTCTGATGAAACCACCATTAGAGTCTGTGAGTTGAGCGACCCTACTGTTCACCCTTCCGATGTCCGAAAGGCGGACTGGAAGGAAGTTGCCACCATCGATATCGTCGATGGTGGCAATAAGGGAGGCGGCAACTCGTCGGCGGAAGGAAAGTACTTCCACCACGGGTTGTTGTTTTTCGATGAACATGGGAAGATCGAGGGACAGGAAGCCCTCACCAAGCTAGCCCGACACCTCGCTCGGTCGGGCTTGATGGTGAGCCCCGGAGGGTACTGCTTTCAGGACGTGACGGGGCTGGGAGAGCACAGAGACTTTGGGGCTCACTACCTCCGACTGAACGATCTCTTCAGCTGGCCTAGCCACGGTGTTAACCTGGCGATGATCACCACGTGGCGGCACTTGGAGTTGACATACACCATGCCAAGGCAGGAGGGAATATCAAAGCGACCGATGGTGAGCGGTGGGGTGAGCAAAGAGAAGCATGAAGAGTTGAAAAAGACGACGGGCACGAGGGATGAGGAGCTGGAGAAGGTGACCAATGAAATGGAAGACGAGATACAAAAATTAAGGGAGGAAAAAGAAGAAGCGCTACAAAAGATGAGAGAAGAGATGGAAGAGACGATTGAAAAGAAAGACGCGGAGGTACGAAAGGTGAAGAGGGAAAGGGATAACGAGAAGCGTCTGAAAGAGATGATCGAACGGGCCAGCAAAGAGAAATACGAGGAGTCGAGAATGTTGAGGATATTAATTATTTAGTAAAAAATAATCAATTCCTTGTCCTCCAAGTCCCTTGTTTCCTTGTCCTTGTCAAAGAAGGAAACCTGGTTGTCATTAGGGTTTTAACCCTAACGTCTATCTCTATATAAGCTTAGCTACGAGATTGTCGTAAGCAAGCCGTCACAATGTAGTCCCATAATAAAATCGTCAGCCGCGAGCTCTTCCGAGCTCACCGTGGATTAGTCTCGATCAATCGATCGAGGATACCACGTAAAATTGTTTGTCTCGTGTTCTTGTTATTCCGCATCATCAAATTTTACATGGTATCAGAGCTGGTTTGTCCTTGAGGTCACGTGTTCAAGTCCTCACGACCCTCAATATTAACTGTTATCTTTCAAGCACATGGTATGGCGGGCCTGTGCAAACTTCAAGCCCATGAGTCGGCTTTCGTTTGAGGGGGCGTGTAAGGAAGTGGTTAAGTACCATACATGGACCTGTATAAGATCCAGCATAACCTTCTCCCAACAACTCGAGTTATTGGGACCAACTGGTTCATGACAGAGAAGGATCGTGAGAGGCAAGAACGAGGAGCTAGAGAAGCTGAGGGACGAGTTGGAAGAAGATGTACGGAAATTGAGAGATGAAAAAGACGGGGAAATGCAAAAGCTGAAAGAGGAAATGGAGGACACAAGGGAAGAGCATGAGAAAGAGTTGAAAAGGTCGAGAAAGGAAAAGGATGAGCTGCAAGAGCAGTTGAATAAAAAAGATGTCTTGCTCGGAAGGGCGAGCGAAGATTTGCAAAAGCTGAGGGAGGAGAAGGCCGAGGAGCTGCGAAAGCTAAGAGAAGAAATGCAAGAGGAGGTAGAAAATGCGAGAAAGGAGAAAGATGAAGAAGTAGAGGCATTGAAAAGAGAAAAGAAGGAGGGAGAAAAGCCGAGCAAAGAGCAGGATGAGGAATTAAAAAGTTTGTGGGATGAAGTAGAAACTCTAAGAAGGACCAAAGACGATGAAGCACGCAAAGCGACGAAGAACGAGGAAGAGATGGGAAAAATGCTAGAAATGGTGCGAAAGGATAAGGAAGGAGCATTGCAAAGGCTGATCAACGAAAAGGATGCCGAGCTCGAAAACCTAAGGGACAAACACACATTTCTTCATGATTCGTTTGTTTGAAGAATACAGGCTTGCTTTCCTCTATCGGGACTAACAATGATGCTGCTTGTTTGCTAGGAGTGGCTATACGGTTCGGCCCGATTAAATTGACCCGAATTAATCTGGTTTCAGTCCAGTCTTTTCGGGAATATAAGGACCAAAGATTGGATTGGATATAATCCTGTCTTGATCCAGTCCGGTCCCAATTCGGTTTTGATTTTAGAAATTAAAATGGCCTGAGACCTCAAAAGGTGAGGAGTTGGTTAAATTTTGGGTGTTGGGCTATTTTATCCGGTTTTTTATCCGATTCTAAACAAATTTTTTTTACCTCAAATCTAAGCCTGAAGATGTAATTGAATTGTTTGCTTTCCGATTCTAGTCTGGATTATACAGTGATTTCAGATAAACCCACAAAATCAGGACCAAATAATCAGCCCTATTGTTTGCTTTTCCATTCCTACTCTTTCTTTCTATTTAGTCACACAAGAGAACCAACAACTACGTATCGATACTTATTTCATAACTCTTGGAATTAAAAATTTCTGTTTCTCTGTCTTTTATTGACATAAAAAAGTCCTAGTTCTAAGAGTATTTTTTTTATAATTTAGATGAACTTTAGTAGCAATTTTTATTCCTTTTAAAATTTCTTTTAATATTTTTCTTTCATTTGGAAGTGGACACGTCACACATCATACATATTTGTCTCATTTCTCATTTACTTTGATTTTTGCTTCCTCATTTATCTTTTTTTTATCGAGTTCGAATATGAAGACAACGAATATTTTTTTAATTCTCCGTGAAAAAAAAAACATAATGTCATAGAACCATCGACACAAAATGTTACGTTCTTCCTTCATTTACCTCTCATTTCGTTAAATTTTTATGATTTTCTTTTTATAATCAGTTTTTTTTTTGTGAGAGAAAAAATCGTCATTGTTCGTATTTGGTTTTTGCCCCTTTATTTATCTTTTTAGCGAATTGCTAGATCCGAGGACAACCGCAAGGTGGGAGACCATAGTCGCCGTGGTAGTACTTATCGAAGAACAAAAGAATCCCAGTAATAAAGTCTCGACAATTGAAATCAAGTTCCACAACCAAATAGAATTTCAAGTTTTTTTTTGTTTGTTTGTTGTTCCCTAATTGATACTTATCCATTTTTATTGTTTGCTTCAATTTATTCCAAAATAATGAAAGACTCAAAAGGATAGAAGAAATCAATGTAGTTGGTTGTTGTGCACTTGTGCTGATGTCTTTATATACTGCCATTATTATGCAATAACAGAGCAAATATTCCAACCATAATCTCCGACGACCATCTCCACAATAAAGTATATATTAGCTATGGTTCGTCTGTTCGATTTCAATTCAGAAAGTAGAGATCGATTAGCAAACGCGTTTTCGAGCGTAGTATGAGTTTGTGGAAGGAAGAAATAAGAGAGACAGAGAGAGAAGTGAACAATGGAGATGCAAGGGTGGATAAATAATGATTAATAATCTTTTACTTAATTGATTAGTATATAAATAGCGACTAATTGGTATAAGGGGTCCAGTGGAAAGTGGGCGGGTCTACATTAAGTATTGTGCAGACTATGCGGATCGTCGTCCATCACACTCTAAGACTCAATATCAGCCGCTGATTTAAGACCCTCATCTCCTCACCTGCTCCCCGCGTCTAAGCGTCTCAAACCATCTACCCGACTTTCCCCATCCCGTTGATAAATCGGCTGGCGGCTAGCCAAGCAATTTCAACGACTGGGCCTCCGCCTCTCCTCCGCATTTCTCCGATCTCCCATGACGCTCTATGTAGGACCTTGGTGGCCTTCCCAATCTCGGCCGCACCAGTAGAATACATGCAAGTCCAGCGCCTCCTTCTCCAATTACTCTGTTTCCCCTCGGTAGTTTCGGTGGCTGAGTTTGGATTTCATTTTTCATTCCGATCACCGATCAAACTACCTCCCGTGCCTTTACCTTCTCCCATCGTCCAGTGCGCTAGGGCGGGTTCTACCGTAACTCCTGTGAACCCTCCTTTCCGCCTTCCTCTTGATTAACTTAATTTCAACCCTTGGCCCCTTCCTTTAATTTTCCTGATGATGCGATTGGAGATTAGACAAGTATGGAACGCTGACATCTCTTCCGCCCTCCAACGACCATTTAGAAACGACAATTCCAACTGCTATACCGTCGCACGACAGAGAGAATAAATCCAACGACTTAATTAATTTCTTTGACAAGCTCAGTCGGCCATTGCCAACCAACTCCGATGCTAGCTAGGTGTTGTATTGTCGACCTTTCTTCACTACTGCCGATACCATAGATTGAATAGAGATCCGACTTTCTTTGAAAGGCTATCGCCAACCGCCGATTGCCTTCCTCCACCTACTGATCACTGATCAGTACTTGCTCCCATAAGAGGATGTTGCATGCGCCCATTAATTGAATTGTAAGGGTAGCGAAATGAAGGTGGCTAAAAAGGAGTGAATAGGGGCATCGAGCGATCGAGGGTCCGACTTCCCCTGTCAGTTTTTTTGGCTAGAGAAACAATAGAATCGGCATTTACTGCTTTTTTAAGAGTACATTTTGGTACTCCCAAGATCTAGCTATCAAGAACTGGTAGTCTTTCCCATGTGCATGATTTACACGTTGCAGTGAAGGGATGCCACGTATTCCACTAAAATTTTTATATCCCAATACCAAAATTCAGAAGACAATGATGTGATACAATTGTATTATTTCTTTGGGCTTGATTTTATATATATCTTATATGATGAAAACTTAGCTTTGTATATAGTTTGACAATCACCTACCTAATACAATAGAATCGAGGTTCGCCTCAATGGATAATTGTTCTCTTCTAAAAAAATATGATTATAGTTTTAGTTCCATGTCACTATATTATACTAATAATGCATACAATTCAACTATTCAAGTGCCTTGCAACTTTATTATCATTTACTCTAATAAATCTTGAGAAGTAACCATCCCATAACCCTAATTGGATAAGATAATTCCAAATGTTTAGTGTTTATGATCTTATAATGGTGCCCACTTGAAAATTGCACACATTTGAAATGATGAAATGATTTAAAAGTAAAAGCTTTGATAATTATGGTACCTTTATATTATAAAACGATATAGTGAGTCTCTTTCACAATATCATTTTGAGAAGTATTTTTATGATTTTTCCTAATCTACATATAAGACTATTCGTCCTAACTTATTTTAACTACCAATAATGCATCAAACTAAGTATACATGAATGATATACATTGTAAGAAAGCATGAAAGTTATCCATGAAGAAAAGTAGATTTTTTTAAGAAACTTTATAAGATCTAAATAAAAATATTGTAACAATCGAAATCAAACGCCAACAAATGTATTGATTATGGCTAATTCAATTTAATGCATCTCACGAAGATGTTTATCGGTACCCGCCGCAATGCGCGGGCCAATTATCTAGTAATCATATAAAGCAGAAGATATTTTTCACCCATTCGCATCAAGGTTAAACTTACTTCTTGCATCCGTCCTCCTCCGAAAGAGCACCTCTAAAATAAGAGGTAAAGATTCCCTTAGCAACATACTCGATCAAATGAGTGATTTTCTCAATCGATGTTATACTACCCTCACAAATAATAATTTTGGGTATGTCAAAGTTATATTATGATGATCAAGGAGCCTTATACATATGATACCAAATCAAAGTTATATTATTATGATGCAAGTTATTTATTCATGATAATTGAGACTAATATATGTTTGATTCGATAAAAGAAAACTTCCTTACATCACAATCCACAACTTGTGAGAAAAGAATAGGGGTGTGCTCAATATTATATATGATAAATTATGTGATGATATAAATACTTAACGACTTTGATTAATTGATAATCCCGTTGATTTCTTTTGCTATTCACAAATGGGCATTCAGTTTGCGAATGCTTGTCCGATGTGATATATTGAATCGTATTTGTTGAATAATGTAGACGATGAGTGTAATCTATGATATTATTGAAAGATGAAAACGCATCAGGATATTTTTGAAAATAATAATTTTTTCCCCATGTTCTTAGTTAGCATGATATTATTTTTTAAAACTTTTCCCAAAAAAATTTATCATAGAATATCCCTCAATATAATTTCTCTGTCCGCCAATTACCATACGTAATCCCCTTCCTATCACGACCGCAAGTTTTTCATACATTCATCCAAATCCATAATGTTTATAGTCATCATTAGTTAGATTATGAATCAGGATTAACTTGTTTTTTTCCAGCAAAGTGTGTAAGGTGTAAGGATTAGTAGTATTAGTCACTTCAGCTAATTGAAAATCAAAGCAAGTCTATAGTTATAGTGTATAGTATGCACTATTGTTATCTGTAAATGGTTACAAATCGTATGTATTGATTAACATACTATTTGTTAATCTAGATTCTAGACCGTTTTTTAAAATTTTTCCAAAATTAGAAAAATGGTATGATTAAACAAAGACTCTCCTTATGATTAAACAAAGACTCGATCTCGCTTATATATTTATTCATCAATACAAGAGACAAAAGACTCTCCTTATAATTAAACAAAGACTCTCCATAGTGTTCTTCATCAAATAAAAGAATGACTCAAACTTAATTATTGGCTCCGAGTCAATGCAATTGCCAGGAAACTTATCTTTAAAAATATTAAAGGGGTTTGGAAAACCGACCCCCTCCACGTAAGCCTAAATGACTTCTCCGCGTTTTTCGGTTATCACCATATTTTTTATTATTTAAATATTACTCAACGGTTTCAAAACCTCTTTTATTCAAATTTTTTACATTTTTTGTTCCTTAATTGCCTCCCCTGAAAAATGAGAATCCTTCTAACATAGGCTTCTTTTTTCGTTTCTTTTGGTTATGTGGTGTGGAGGGATGAGGGAGGGGACATACATTATACTATTATAGGATAATTGTTTATTATTATTTGTGATAATTATTTTTCTCCAATAATAATTATTTACTCACCCAATAACAATATTTTAGTATCTAAATTATTTCTCATAATATTTTTTATAGCTACGCAAAACATATCTATAAAAATAATTACAATTTTGAGTTTTTGGTCATCTCCACGTCAAACTTTAACAAAATATAGTGTATCCCCATAAACCAAAAAATCCTTCCATTCTCCCTACATTTTCTTGCATGACCATCATTTCACTCATTCTCATCATCTGACCAATTTACCTTAGCGTTATCAACGTATAGAGACTGAATCTAAACTCTCTCGACATTTCTAATATGATACATCATGCAGAGCTTCATTCGGTCATTGGCGGCCGTTAATAACCCTAACTCTAGACTGGAGGATCGGGTGTCATATGTGATTCTTCGTCATTGACTCTACTTCACGCTTCAATGCAGCATGACAAGCCTACTAGACTTCCCTCTAAATCGACTCAAGATGGACATACCTTCCTTTTGGACTAAATTGAAAATTGATATGCATGCTTTGTTTTCCTTTTCTGGTGTTTCTCGACATTAAATTTTGATATATGATTTTGTTGAGAGGGAGTAAGGAAATTTGAGAATTATATTTGACTTTTCGACGAAAACTATTCACTTGATTTAGAAATTTGTTATTTTAAATTCTAATATAGTCCAATTTTATATATAGTATATACACAACAAAGAAATGGTTACCTGCCCAAAAGGGCAGGGTCAAAGCTAGTTTAGACAAGTCACATATATATTAATTTAAGTTAAGTGGGTTCATGGTGAGAGATGGCCACATTTAGGCATTTAGCATTATATAAAGATATACCACCCAAACAAAAACCATACAAACATATCACCCAATCTCAATTCTCATCTATATCTATCTATCTAACCTATAGGCTCCCGCTAGCTAGCATGGTTCTCTTTGATTTCAAGTCAGACAAACACTTTGTTAACTCCTTTGATGAAATCACCATTAGAGTCTGTGAGTTGAGGGACCCTACGATTCACCCTTCCTATATCCGAAAAGCTCACTGGAAGGAAGTTGGCACCATCATCGTCGATGGTGGCAATAATGGAGACGATGATCTGGCGGAAGAGCAGTACTACGACGGGTTGTTGTTTTTCGATGGCCATGGGAAGATCGAAGGACATGAATCCCTAACTAATCTAGCCCAACACCTCACTCGGTCGGGTTGATGGTGAGCCCTGGAGGATACTGCTTTCAAGATATGACTAAGTTGGGAGAGCAAAAAGATTTTGGGGCTCACTACCTTCGATTGAACGATCTCTTCAGTTGGCCTCGTCATGGTGTTGACTTGGTGAGGATCACCAATTGGCAACGCTTGGAGTTGAAGTACATCGTGTCAAGACAGAAGAAAGTATCAAAGCAACCGATAGTTGGCGGCGGGGTGAGTAAAGAGAAGTACGAGGAGTTGAAAAGGATGTTGAACAAGAAGGACGAGGAGATGGAGAAGGTAACCAATGAGATGGAAGAGGAGATACAAAAATTGAGACAGGAAAAAGATGAAGAGCTACAAAAGCTGCGAGAAGAGATGGAAGAGACGATCGAAAAGAAAGACGCGGAGCTACGAAAGGTGAAGAGACAAAGGGACGAGGCGAAGCGTCCGAAACCGATGATGTCCGAAGGAGTGAGCAAAGAGAAATACAAGGGGTTGAAAAGGATCGCAAGAGAGAAGGGTGAGGAGCTGGAGAAGCTGAGGGAAGAATCGGAAGAAGATCTACAAAAGCTGAGGGATGAAAAGGATGGGGAAATACGAAAGCTAAAAGAGGAGATGGAGGATGCAAGCGAAAAGCACGAGGAGGAGCTGCGAAAGTCGAGAAAGAAAAAGGACGAGGTGCAAAAGCAGTTGAAGAAAAACGACGGCGTGCAGCATACGCTCAAAAGGGCGAGCGACGACTTGCAAAAGCTGGGGAAGGAGAAGGTCGAGGAAGTGCGAAAGCTAAGAGAGGAAATGCAAGAAGAGATAGAAAAGGCGAGAAAGGAGAAAGATGAAGAGGTGGAGGCATTAAAAAGAGAAAGAGACGAGGGAGCAAAGCCGAGCAAAGAGCAGAACGAGGAACTAAAAAATTGAGGGAGGAGGTAGAAACTCTGAGAAGGACTGAGAATGATAAAGCATGTAAAACAACGAAGAAGGAGGAAGAGATGGCAAAAGTGCTCGAAAATGAGCGAAGAAAGAACAAGGACGAAGCATTGCAGAGGCTGATCAACGAAAAGGATACCGAGCTCGAAAAGATGAGGAACGAGCATGAAGAAACGATGAAAGAGAACGCTGCCGAAACGAGAAAGCTGAAGGAACAGTCGTCGCGACACGAGCTGGAGTAACGTTGGAAGCAATCATGGATGGCGCTACCTACGACACCGTACACCACTGGTGAGACAGACCACAAAAGCAGAAGACGGGCGGTGCCACCAAATACTTGGTGCAACGTTAGTGGGAGTTACATCTGCTACCATGATAATAATTTGAAGGCGGCGGACTTATGTGGGTTCCTTCAAGGAACTTTCCAAGTTGGAGTGGTGGAGGAAGACACCAAAGATTGGTTGTCGCCCCCTGCGACTAATATATATTGTGGGGGCAGTGAATCATTCGACCGCAACAACTGGTGGTTTGTGAAGATATTGCATCCGAATGACAGCCTTATTATGTTGGCATATTACGACGGGGACCGAAGCTATACTGCTGGGTACAGAGGTTACACTACCAAGTTTCCGATGCCCAGGGACATTGGTATGCAGACAAACACAGTTTTCTTCATGATTCATTTGTTTGGCGAATTCAAGCTTGCTTTCCTCTACCGGGACTTACTATAGGCAATCGGAGAGGCTAGCTGTTCGTTTTTCCCGCTGTGTTAAGGGTTCGTGGATTTGAAAAATGAAGGTTTTGGTATAACTTGAGTTTTGATAAATTATGGATAATATGAGGGTTTTGGGTTCATTATGGATTTGAAAAATATCATTGCCTGTTTCATGATTTTCATTATGAATTTTGTTATTTAAATTTGTATGTATGAGGTGAACTTTATCTATATTGTCCTCAATCATATATTAGGAGAAAGAAAATATGAGGGGTAGGTTAGTAAAAAATGATAGACTTCAAAGTCCATGATCAATCCCACCTAAAAAGGTGGGATTTTTAAGTTCGTGGGGCCCACGGATTTGGACCCCTAAAGTCCATGGGTCCCACGAATTTGATTCCACTAAATACTTGAAGCAAACAATGAATTTTGAACAAAATCTATCATGAACCCAAATCCTTCACCAAATCCATCAAGCAAACAAGCCCTTGATAACCAACTACGTTCAACACAATCATTCCCCATTTCGTAACTTTTGGAATCGTAGTTAGCGAGGAGTATGAGGAGTTGAAAAACATGGCTAGGACTTGAGAGAAGCCGAGGGAGGAGATGCAAAGCTACAAAAGCCAAAAGAGGAGATGGAAGGTTGTAAGTGAAAAGTACGAGACAGAGCTACGATAGTTGGAGAAGAAGGGTGAGAAGCTGCGAAAACTGTGAAAGAAAAACAAAAGGATGTATTCGAGATGTCGCGAAAAAGATGTAGGATGAGGAGTTAATGAAAAAGAATGATGAATTGGAGATGTTTGGGGGGGAAAAAGAAGGATCGATTATGGAGCAAAGCTGCACCAGAAATGTGTTTTTCCCTATGCAAACATATTCCTTGCAGAATGCTGGTGAACTAGTAACAATGACTGCACACATTAGCTATACACCAAAAATCCAATCCCAACAACTGCTGATACTACCAAGTCTCGCTGGGTTTTGAGGAATTGCTGATGACAGAAGATTCTTTGCATCACTTGACAGGAAGATTCTCTGAGCTCTTAGTCGCTTTCACTGTAGCCGTCATCACTTTCAGGTTCGTCGTTGGCAAAGCTATAAGCTTGATCAAGGTAGTTATCAACGTAGGCTTCATACTGGTCCTCGGAATTCGTGGCTTCACCATTCAGCAAACTGCGATTCTCATCATCATCAGCTTCCTCTTCATCTTCCATTCCACCTTCTTCGTTTTCTTCTCCATCGTCGTCACTTTTATCTTCACTCTGCAACTCGTCTTCTGCTTCTGAACTTTCATCGGGATATTCATTAAATGGATGATTTTCAGCTGGGGAAAAAAAGCGACGAGGAGAAGGAAATGAGAAAGCAGTATCATCACAATGCTTTGAGCTAAGGTGCATGAGGGACTAATTGATGGTAACCTAGTGACGTAACCAATCGGTTTGGGTCACTAAGATCGTATCGGTTAGGACTACCAGTTTTAGTCACTGGTTAACCAGACCAAACCAGTTAGCAACATCTAGCCAAGGGAGTAAAAGAGTTGGAGTCAACAATACCATTTGAATCTTCACTGTCGCATTCAGATTCGTCATCTAGTCCATCGTAGAAATCCTCATCCTCAACTTGCACCCTTAGACCAAGGCGCCACGTCAGCTAATGAACGTACAACAAACACAAAAACCGTTGGTTTCTGATACTTACAGAGGAAATGGAAAAGGCGTGTCTTCGTGTTCTATGTCCATGGTATTATTCACAGTGTAGTAGTCATACACATACTCATCTGCCATAAAATGAAATGGAAAAAGAAACCGATCAAACAGTAATTGGCCGCATAAATAGAGATCAGCTCAAGGCTTATGGCATGGCAAAGTATTTCCTACAAGCGAAACTGTTCTATGAAAAATCCTCGAAATCCTACCTTCCTGGGAAGTGGAAGCACTAATTTCAGCTTCAATCTCCCCAGCAGCATCCGGAATCAACTCCTTTAAGAAAGGCAAATAACTAGAAAGAAGCTTCTGATCCTCCACAGACAGAGCTCTGCATTGAAACCAGAGGAACTAACTTTAGTTTACCTTTACTTTGTCTCCGTAAGATGCAATAACTTCCAACAGCAAGATACTTACTGTTTCTGCTTCTCCTGACTGGATTCGGCATCAATTCGAATGACATCATAGAAATGACACATATCATGCACTGCTTCCTCTGTTTCCTTCCGCTTGCTCCATATTTGTTGGAAGCGTGCACTTTTGGCTATTTGCTAATGCCAAGAACACAATGTACAGCAAGATGAAACAAGAATTAGAGAAAAATAACTCTTAACAACGCAAAAGGCACTATCTTTCATGTTTAACAAACTAAGAGCTTAAGGATTCCCAACCGGCATGGGTTCATTAGTCATTACCAGGGGCCTTCTTTAGTGTATATATAAGGGGCCTTTCTTATCCCGGTTCAAGTAAAAAAGGCATTCTATTTCCATCATTTTCCCATAAACTCAGAACTCATATCAGACACTGGACTGATCAAATTGCATCTCACACCATTATATAAACACAATCTCCAACTCCATTCACTAAATATACCTCTTGACTTTGTCTGGATTTAGAAAGAATTTGTTCTTGTTTCTGCAGAAATTAGTACAAAAAAGCAGAAAGTATCAGATGTAGCAACCAATGACATTTCCGGCAATAATACTTAAGGTGGAGTGATAGGAGGGAAAGAGAGGGACCATACATTGACACTTTTAAAGGTCCGTTTCAGGTCCTCCGTTGTTGTTTTAGCTTCAACCACATCCACAGAGTTAGGCTGCAGAGACAAAGAATCAGTATTCAAACCCTGAAGCTTGTTACGTACATCTAAATTATCAGAAAAGGGGAAAGTTGAACATAGCTATGATGCTCCAAGTTCAAATTCAAGCACAAGATCAGAATGAAGACAATCAATCAAATCACCTAATATCTATTTACTGAATTCTTGCTCGATAAACAATCAAATGATTCAATGTTATGCACAACCAATCCATATTTAACCCGCAGTAGCCAATATGCAACAACAACAACAACAACAACAACAACAGGATCTTGCAAGCACTATAACGCATCAATGATTACAGAAACTGTGAAATACACAAAACACAGACGAGTTCCACTAACCACAAACGATTTCACAACACGAACGGTGGACTCCGAGGTGCTGATCGTTTCAACATGCTGCACAAGGACCTTCCTAGTCTTAGATTCTTCTCCTGCTCCAAAAAAACAAGAGACCGCCAATTTCAACATAGCAAGGCGAAGAAACATGAGACCGTTCCCATGGTTGACTTCATGGAACTGCTTTTAGATCAAATTTCGTAATCCCTAGTAAGCAACCAAACATGCTGGGGTTGCCAATCACTATTACCGTTTCCATTAGCGGAATCGCCAAGCGAGAGCTTCGCCAAATCAAAAGTCGCGCGCTTAGACGGACGCTCATTGATTTCCAGCCCTGCAATCAGAATCCGCTCAAGCCCATTACTACTACAACTCCTCGAACAAGTCTGCAGCGAGATTACCGAGCTGCTACTGTAAATAAAAGAACAGGAAGAGGAGAGAAGCGGGAACTGACAGAAGGCGTCGAGTATAGACTGGTGCAACTTCCGCTTCACCCTAACGACGACGGGCTTCACGCCGTCGGTCGATATCGGAGGTGCCGAAGAGCCCTCGCCGACGTTCGCCATTGGTTTCGGAAGGATTTTGGAGGGAGAGGGGTTAGAACTTAGAAGCTTGGCGTAGCAGTCACGATTTTAGGGGCAAGGCTGAATCGGTCGGATTCTGTTGTGAATTGGGCCAATAGCCCGAAAAAAGAAGCCCAATAATCCTTGATTCAGACTGGGCTTGGTCGTCGAACTTGTTGTTGGCCAACTAACCAAAATTAACCAGCTGTAATTACTATTACTAATTAGTCCCTTTTTCTGACTCTTAACAGCTCCCGCCTCCCGTTGCCCATTTCTCTCATCGCCTCTAACTCTCCTCCTTTCTCTGCCGGAAATTTCCCTCCGCCGCCACCCACCAACCACCGACGAGCCATGATGTCACTGAATCAAACTCACCCTCCAACCCTCGCCGCTTTCCCCAAATCCACCACCGGCACTGCCGCCTCTTTTCCGTCCCCGCCACTTTCCCCCAACTCCACCGCCGAAACCCTTCTCTCATTTCCGCATCCGGCGCCAATGGCGACCAATCTCGATTCCTCCCCGACCAATCAGCTATCCCCAAATCTCGCTTCGCCGTCAAATCGGCGGCGGCGGCAGAAGGGAGCGGTTCATCAATCCCGGATTCGAATCCCAAACCCGCCGTCAACCAAACCCTAAAACTCGCCACCGTATTCGGGCTCTGGTACTTCCACAACGTAATCTTCAACATCTACAACAAGAAATCCCTAAACGTCTTCCCCTACCCATGGTTCCTCGCCACGTTCCAGCTCTTCACCGGCTGCATCTGGATGCTGGCCAACTGGTCAATCAACCGCCGGTTCCCCAAAATCTCCAAGGAGTTCCTCCTCGCCCTCCTCGGCCCGGCGCTGTTCCACACCGTCGGCCACATCTCCACCTGCGTCTCCTTCTCTAAAGTCGCCGTCTCGTTCACCCACGTCATCAAATCCGCCGAGCCCGTCTTCTCGGTCATCTTCTCGTCTTTCCTCGGCGAGATCTACCCTCTCAAGGTATGGCTCTCGATCCTCCCCATAGTCTTCGGCTGCTCATTGGCCACAGTCACCGAAGTCTCCTTCAATTTGGGAGGACTCTCTGGAGCCATGATCAGCAACTTCGGCTTCGTCCTGAGAAACATCTAATCCAAGAAGAGCCTGCAGAATTTCAAAGAAATCGACGGGTTGAATTTGTATGGATTGATTAGTTTAGTCTCGTTTGTTTACCTGCTCCCCGTCGTGATTCTCGTCGAGGGCTCGCAGTGGGTTGGGGGTTACAAGAACGCGATTGTGGCAGTGGGCGGGAGGTCGATGGAGTTTTATGGAATGGTGCTCTGTTCTGGGATCTTCTATCACTTGTACAACCAGTCGTCGTACCAGACGCTTGATGATATCAGTCCATTGACGTTCTCTGTTGGGAACACGATGAAGAGGGTGGTGGTGATTGTTGCCACCGTGTTGTTCTTCAGGAATCCGGTGAAGCCATTGAATGCTCTGGGGTCCGCGATTGCGATCCTGGGGACGTTTTTGTACTCTCAGGTGACGGCGAAGAAAGGGAAGAAGAAGGAGGAGGAGCCTGCAGTGGGAGATGAGAAGAGCAGTTAAGAGAGAAAGGTTGGAGCTTTTTTGAGTTGCGAGGAGGGATTTGCTATGCAGTGTTGTGCAATGTGCATCAATGGAGGGGAGTCGGAAGAAGATCTACAAAAGCTGAGGGATGAAAAAGATGGTGAAATACGAAAGCTGAAAGAGGAGATGGAGGATGCAAGCGAAAAGCACGAGGAGGAGCTGCGAAAGTCGAGAAAGGAAAAGGACGAGGTGCAAAAGCAGTTGACGAAGAAAAACGACGGCGTGCAGCAGACGCTCAAAAGGGCGAGCGACGACGACTTGCAAAAGCTGAGAAAGGAGAAGGTCGAGGAAGTGTGAAAGCTAAGAGAGGAAATGCAAGAAGAGATAGAAAAGGCGAGAAAGGAGAAAGATGAAGAGGTGGAGGCATTAAAAAGAGAAAGAGACGAGGGAGCAAAGCCGAGCAAAGAGCAGAACGAGGAACTAAAAAAATTGAGGGAGGAGGTAGAAACTCTGAGAAGGACTGAGAATGATAAAGCATGTAAAACAACGAAGAAGGAGGAAGAGATGGCAAAAGTGCTCGAAAATGAGCGAAGAAAGAACAAGGACGAAGCATTGCAGAGGCTGATCAACGAAAAGGATACCGAGCTCGAAAAGCTGAGGAACGAGCATGAAGAAACGATGAAAGAGAACGCTGCCGAAACGAGAAAGCTGAGGGAACAGTCGTCGCGACACGAGCTGGAGCAACGTCGGAAGCAATCATGGATGGCGCTACCTACGACACCGTACACCACTGGTGAGACAGACCACAAAAGCAGAAGACGGGCGGTGCCACCAAATACTTGGTGCAACGTTAGTGGGAGTTACATCTACTACCATGATAATAATTTGAAGGCGGCGGACTTATGTGGGTTCCTTCAAGGAACTTTCCAAGTTGGAGTGGTGGAGGAAGACACCAAAGATTGGTTGTCGCCCCCAGCGACTAATATATATTGTGGGGGCAGTGAATCATTCGACCGCAACAACTGGTGGTTTGTGAAGATATTGCATCCGAATGACGGCCTTATTATGTTGGCATATTACGACGGGGACCGAAGCTATACTGCTGGGTACAGAGGTTACACTACCAAGTTTCCGATGCCCAGGGACATTGGTATGGAGACAAACACAGTTTTCTTCATGATTCATTTGTTTGGCGAATTCAAGCTTGCTTTCCTCTACCGGGACTTACTATAGGCAATCGGAGAGGCTAGCTGTTCGTTTTTCCCGCTGTGTTTAGGGTTCGTGGATTTGAAAAATGAAAGTTTTGGTATAACTTGAGTTTTGATAAATTATGGATAATGTGAGGGTTTTGGGTTCATTATGGATTTGAAAAATACCATTGTTTGTTTCATGATTTTCATTATGGATTTTGTTATTTAAATTTGTATGTATGAGGTGAACTTTATCTATATTGTCCTCAATCATATATTAAGACTTAAGAGAAAGAAAATATGAGGGGTAGGTTAGTAAAAAATGATGGACTTCAAAGTCCATGATCAATTCCCACCTAAAAAGGTGGGATTTTTAAGTTCGTGGGGCCCACGAATTTGGACCCTTAAAGTCCATGGGTCCCACGAATTTGATTCTATTAAATACTTGAAGCAAACAATGAATTTTGGACAAAATTTATCATGAACCCAAATCTTTCACCAAATCCATCAAGCAAACAAGCCCTTGATAACCAACTACGTTCAACACAATCATTCCCCATTTCGTAACTTTTGGAATCGTAGTTAGCGAGGAGTATGAGGAGTTGAAAAACATGGCTAGGACTTGAGAGAAGTCGAGGGAGGAGATGCAAAGCTACAAAAGCCAAAAGAGGAGATGGAAGGTTGTAAGTGAAAAGTACGAGACAGAGCTACGATAGTTGGAGAAGAAGGGTGAGAAGCTGCGAAAACTGTGAAAGAAAAACAAAAGGATGTATTCGAGATGTCGGGAAAAAGATGTAGGATGAGGAGTTAGTGAAAAAGAATGATGAATTGGAGATGTTAGGGGGGAAAAAAGAAGGATCGATTATGGAGCAAAGCTGCACCAGAAACGTGTTTTTCCCTATGCAAACATATGCCTTGCAGAATGCTGGTGAACTAGTAACAATGACTGCACACATTAGCTATACACCAAAAATCCAATCCCAACAACTGCTGATAGCCTGATACTACCAAGTCTCGCTGGGTTTTGAGGAATTGCCGATGACAGAAGATTCTTTGCATCACTTGACAGGAAGATTCTCTGAGCTCTTAGTCGCTTTCACTGTAGCTGTCATCGCTTTCAGGCTCGTCGTTGGCAAAGCTATAAGCTTCATCAAGGTAGTTATCAACGAAGGCTTCATACTGGTCCTCGGAATTCGTGGCTTCGCCATTCAGCAAACTGCGATTCTCGTCATCATCAGCTTCCTCTTCATCTTCCATTCCACCTTCTTCGTTTTCTTCTCCATCGTCTTCATCGTTGTCATTACTTTTATCTTCACTCTGCGACTCGTCTTCTGCTTCTGAACTTTCATCGGGATATTCATTAAATGGATGATTTTCAGCTGGGGAAAAAAAGTGACGAGGAGAAGGAAATGAGAAAGCAGTATCATCACAATGCTTTGAGCTAAGGTGCAGGAGGGACTAATAGTGAAGATTCAAATGTCACCAATCCGTTTTGGTCACTAAGATCATATCGGTTAGGACTACCGGATTTAGTCACTGGTTAACCAGACCAAACCAGTTAGCAACATCTAGCTAACGGAGTAAAAGAGTAAGAGTCAACAATACCGTTTGAATCTTCACTGTCGCATTCAGATCCGTCATCTGGTCCATCATAGAAATCCTCATCCTCAACTTGCACCCTTAGACCAAGGCGCCACGTCAGCAAATGAAACGTACGACAAACACAAAAACCGTTGGTTTCCGATACTTACAGAGGAAATGGAAAAGGCGTGTCTTCGTGTTCTATGTCCATGGTATCATTCACCGTGTAGTAGTCGTACACATACTCGTCTGCCGTAAAGTGAAATGGAAAACGAACCGATCAAATAGTAGTTAGCAACATAAAATAGAGATAAGCTCCAGGCTTATGGCATGACAAAATATTTCCTACAAAATGAAACTGTTCAAAAAAAAACCTTGAAATCCTACCTTCCTGGGAAGTGGAAGCACTGATTTCAGCTTCAATCTCCCCAGCAGCATCTGGAATCAACTCTTTTAAGAAAGGCAAGTAGCTAGAAAGAAGCTTCTGATCCTCCACAGACAGAGCCCTGCATTGAAACCAGAGGAACTAACTTTAGTTAATGTTTACTTTGTCTCCGTAAGACACAATAACTTCCAACAGCAAAATACTTACTCTTTCTGCTTCTCCTGACTGGATTCAGCATCAATTCGAATGACATCATAGAAATGACACATATCATGCACTTCTTCCTCTGTTTCCTTCCGGCTGCTCCATATTTGTTGGAAGCGAGCACTTTTGGCGATTTGCTAACACCAAGAGCCCAATGTACAGCAAGATGAAACAAGAATTAGAGAAAGGTAACACTCTTAACAAAGCAAAGGCACTATCTTTCAGGTTTTACAAACTAAGAGCTTAAGGATTCCCAACCGGCATGGGTTCATTAGTCATTACCAAAGGCCTTGTTTTGTATATAAGGGGCTTTTCTCATCCCAATTATAGTAAAAAGGGCATTTTATTCCATCTCCCATCATTATATAAATACAAGCTCCAACTTCATTCACTAAATATACCTCTTGACTTTGTCTGGATTTCAAAAGAATTTGTTCTTGTTTCTGCAGAAATTAGCACAAAAAAGCAGAAAGTATCAGATATAGCAACCACTAATGAAAACTCGTGGCTATATTACTTATGGTGGATAACTAGGGAGGGAGAAAGATACCATACATTTACACTTTTAAAGGTCCGTTTCCGGTCCTCTGTTGTCGTTTTAGCTTCGACCACATCAACAGAGTTAGGCTGCAAAGACAAAGAATCAGTATTCAAAACACTGAAGCATGTTACGGTACATCTAAATTATCAGAAAATGGGAAAGCTGAACATAGCTATGATGCTCCAAGTTCAAATTCCAGCACAAGATCAGAATGCAGACAATGAATCAAATCGCCTGATATCTATTTCCCGGATTTTTGCTAGATAAACAATCAAATGAATCAATTTTATGCACAACCAATCGCTACTTAACCTGCAGTAGTCGATATGCAACACCAAAAGGATCTTGCAAGCACTATAACGCATCAATGACTACAGAAACTGTGAAATGCAGAAAACACAGACGAGTTCCACTAACCACAAACGATTTCACAACACGAACAGTGGATTCCGAGGTGCTGATCGTTTCAACGTGCTGCACAAGGACCTTCCTAGTCTTAGATTCTTCTCCTGCTACAAAAAACAAGAGACCACCAATTTCAACATAGCAAGACGAAGAAACCTTATACACTTCCTATGGTTCACGCCATGGAAGTGCTTTTAGGTCAAATTTCGTAATCCCTAGTAAGCAACCAAACATTTTGGGGTCCCCAATCACTATTTACCGTTTCCATTAGCGGAATCGCCAAGCGAGAGCTTCGCCAAATCCAAAGTCGCGCGCTTAGACGGCCGCTCGTTGATTTCCAGCCCTGCAAAACCAGAATCCGCTCAAGCCAATTACTTCACAACTCCTCGAACAAGTCCGCAGCGACATTACCGAGCCGCTCCGTCAAATTAAAGACCAGTAAGTGGAAGAGAAGAGAAGCGGAAACTGACAGAAGGCGTCGAGTATAGACTGGTGCAACTTCCGCTTAACCCTAACGACGACGGGCTTCACTCCGTCGTTGGACATCGGAGGTGGTGAAGAGCTCTCGCCGACGTTCGCCATTTGTTTCGGAAGGTTTTTGGAGGGAGAGGGGTTAGAAGCAATGTTGTCAGAACCGAACCAGAGTATGACCCGATAACGTGAACGGCTCGATCTTTAGTGGTCCAGCCGGCATTAAACCGTTTAAAAACCGTTTGAGAACCGGTACCTAATAAACAGTCATCTGTATAAATAGTAGACATTTCTTAATCATGGTATCAGTTCCCACCCAACTCTTCTCCATAGACAATTAACTTCAATATATTTCTCTCTCTTACTCTGCTGTTAGTCCCATAGAGAGACAATAATCCTACTCCTACACAAAAAGGGACCTGGCCCCTGGAACAAATGTAATTTACACAAGCAAAGCAGAAATGATGTAGAGAGCTACCCATCACTGGAAATTTGTTCTTGTCCATTGCACGTACCTGAGGGACTCTTGAAAATTTAGTTTCCCAAATACCCAATCTGAAAGTTACTCTTTCTTTTTCGTGATTCTTATCAGTTTACAATTTGTTCATGAAATTTGACAACCAACAACAGAACCAGTTTCTAGTTTCCTTAACTCATTCTTTGTTAGCTAGATGTATACTACAGATGGAAAAGACATGATGACTATGTGATGCAGACAGGTAATAAGGAAAGCTCACGAAAGAGAAAGCAAGTATACACAGTAATAACACCGGCCAAATTAACAAGAAAGTCGCAGCCTTTCAGACTAAATTAGAATCAAGAGGAGGAAATCTATAGCGCTATTCTATGGATATCATATACACAGAGACATGAGGAAGACAAATAGAAAGTAGAAAGAAAAAGGAGAACAGGGGTTATTAGAAACCTGGAAGCAGAGTGTCGATGGACAGCAGGGGTCGATGCAGGGGAGAGGTAGCCGTGACCGGAGAAGGGAGAAGGGAGACCTCACCGGCCGGCCATTGTGCTCGCCGGCAGGAGCGGGGAACGAGCCGCCGAAGACGACGACTATGGCGACAGGCGACGGGGGAGTGGCGTCGAGCGATGGCGAACGGCGACGACGTGGGGCGATGGGGAATGGCGGTTGCGGAGGAGGAAGCTGCTTCTCCTTCGTGTCTGGCTGTCTACGCGAAGAGGAAGAAATGAAATTAGGGTTCCAGCATGTATTCTGTAAAACAAAGGCGACTGAAGTCGGCATCGTATTCTTAATCGTCCCTTTCTCCCATCGAATAGAGGCGCCGCAATATTACCGGACGATCCTAGAGTAAGAGCCTGTTGGACAAGTCGAATCCAAATTCGCGGAGGTACGGAGCGACTTTCCTCACCAAATCAAAAGTCTGTCAGGTAACTGGCGTATTGTGTGTTTGAGGAAGTAGGGCAACTATTCAAATCGCTTTGGTTTCACTTTGCCTCGAAGAATTGAGTTGTTTTTTTCCTTGATTTTGAACGTTTGGATTCGTTTACTATTTTCGCTTTGGTGATCATGGCAAAGTTGTGTCTAGTTGGAACCTTTGACCCCTAGTTAGTTGCTCCGCTCCATGTTGTGGGTTGGTAGGTGTTGTGAACTGGTTAACAATGATCTTAGTTGTAGGTTTCATATAAACGTAGCCCTTATATAATGGTGTTGATGATATTAATATTTACATAATAATAATATTATGTTTGGATCTTCTTTAGTAGTAGTAGGAGAGAGCTCAGGATATGTTAACTGGCATGGATGTCCTGTTGTCCTGCAGATTAGTAGGTGGAGGGTAAGCTAACCCCGAGTTGAACTCCGGTCTTGGAAACATGTTTCTTGACTGCTTCATTTGGTCGACAAATATTTTGCAGAATACTCTTCAATTTGGTTTATAAGAAGGGAAATCAGATTTTGTTTATTGTAGTTTCATTTCAGCTCTATTTGAGAAAGTGTTCCTGCCTGACTTGAGTTTAGTTCTTATGATCGGTTCCTTGTAACATAATTGCATCTCTACTAATATTAAGATGGATAGTGATTCATTTCAGATTGGTAGCACCTACAATTGATTCATATGATATGTTTGTATCATTTTACAACTGGTGTTCTTGCATGTCCAGTCTTTAAGATTCGAATCTGCAGGTTTTGTGAATAGACAGTTGATCTGTAGAACCTCTTAGTCCTTTTATTGGCTTCACCTCACAAGGCTGGCTTACTTATCCATTTGTTGTCTAAGCCACAGTTACTAGTTTACTTTGAGTTGTTCATCCATTATGCAATTGTAATAGCTTCTTTTTGTGTAATGAATACACTGGCTGCTTGTTTTGCAGGAAAAGAAAATAATTGCGCTGAAATAGTTGAGAGCGAGAGAGTTGCTAGATGAACCTGTTCAAGACTAATAGGGTGCATAATATCGCTAGCTGCTTAGTCTACTTTACCTTTGGTATAAGGGAGCCCCTTCACCTGAAATCATTGTAGTTTCTAATGTACCTCATATGCATATAAATTGTTCCATTTTTTTACGGTTACGATCCTGATGAGTGAGATATTGATTGAAATGCAGATTCTGGAATTGTTGTATTGGTTCCCTTTCTAATGTTGGATAGATTACCAGCCTAGTATGCAAGTAGTTTTAGTATTAGTAGGGAATCATTGTTCCAAGCAAAGGCCTCTTTCCTTTATACTTGATCTGGTGGCTCTTTCCTTTATACTTGATCTGCCTGCCACCGTAAGTAAGAAAACAGTTAACCGTTTTCTATGGATTCTCAGTCCTCAAGTAAGGACAGTTGAATGTATGAAGTAAGAAACGAACTCTAGAGAACAGAGAAGCAAACACAGTGTATGAACACTCTTGTTCTTTTCACTGGGAGACTCTACTTTTAACTTCTATCTACACTTGCACCATCAACACTGCTACACTAGCACGGTAGTAAGCCTTATACAGAAGCATCTCCCATCCCATGTATTACTTGTTTGTTTTTTTATAATGGTTATGTAAATTTATTAATTAAATGAGAAATTACAAAGTACACTGAACATTTACAATGAACCTGCAAACTTCAGTAAGAAGTAAAAGAAGACAGACTAAAATAATCCTAACTCTACTTGATAACTGCTCGGCACACCTCCAAGAGAACAAAAGAGGTGTGAGAGACTCTGCTACCAAATATGCAGCCTTCGTTACAAAACTTAACAGAGTATCAAAGCCAAATATCATACATCATATTATTTTCTATTATTATCATGCCCATTCTGGCTTTTAAAAGGAATCATGCACCATCTCTGCTTTGCTGGCTAGCGGTGAATTCTAGTTCTGCTAACCTGCATTCACATAACTCAGTTTGATGCTTCCCCTTTAACTGGCCAATAGACTCTTGCCTCGATCAATAGGTACTCTATGATACCTTTTAGAAACCTCGATCCTTTTGACCACATGCGATTTCAAACTGCTACAGCTGCTTCGCTGCTGAAAACAATCTACTGTCGACACACCTGCTGCAAACTTGCTAATAGCTCTGTGATAAAAACATGAACTTCCAGTTTCATGTTACTATCTCTTTCCTTCTTCCTCAACTCCAAATGGTTTGTGTGTGCTGCAGCCTGCAAATTACATAAAGATGGACATTATTGTGTTTCCAAGGAAGTAATCAGGTTTATTATGGTGATGCATTTTATTAGTTTTAAACAGAAATTACATAGTGGATACAAGACTGCAGTTATTGCAGCAAGTAAGAAAAGAATACCACAAAAGACCCATCTGTTCTTTTCTTATCTGGGTATCTATGAACACTAAACAAAGGGAGAACTCACAAAGTGACCAAACTCTAATCCTACCATGATTTGCAGTCACCACACCTTTCAAAAGATAGCATTGCATAAGCCAAAACATGTCATCCAAAAGCATCAATTTCTCTTCCAAAGTTGTTGTCTTAAGCAAAGCCACCAATAACAGTAAGGACTTTAATAAACTAGGTCATGACAAGCCTCACTCAATGGCTCCATCCATCAAAGAGTTCTGTTTGTGTTCTTATCTTTCCAAAGCTTCCAACTTCTTCTCACTAGCACAAGTTCAACTTTGAAGCTATAGTCATTTATTCAGGATACTATGCTCTACTATATATCAGTAGATTAGAGCTTCAAGGTTTTTTTAGATTTTCTGGGGATCTTTGTGCTTCCCGGGTACTTGGATTAAATTAATGAATGAGTACTCGAATGGGAAAAAGAAGGACTGGTTTTGCTACGACCATTCTTAACAGCTATCTTTTGTGGGAAATTGCAGTGGGGAAGATTATCAGTGTTGAAGTTGTTGATGGTGGGCTGATATGCTCATGTAGTGTACATGTAGAAGAAATGGGAGATAAGAACAGCGACTGCTACATTGTGGATGCTGCTGTCTATGCTGGCTACTAGTTTTCCTGCTTCCCTTTTGAAGGTTTCTTCGTGGTTAGCGTCCTCTTGTTATTGACCTGGTTTTTTCTTATAAAATATACCTAAACTTATATAAGCTTTCTCGAAGACTAGCTTGGACCAAAAAAGAAACCCTGAAAACAACCAAACACAATCAAAAGCTGCACAAGACTCAATCTGCCATCCTGTTCCAAGTGTCACGGATGAAACCCAACATCTACAAACCTTAAGAATAGATATTGTCCACAGCAAAGGGAAAAAGCTTGACACTCAAATCTGCCTATGTAACACATCAACGAGAGATCTTACCATCATATTTAACTAATCAAATCATTATCATTAAAAAAACCCAGAGAAGCAAAACAAGGACAGAGCAACCAAGTCCCTCCCTATGCTTGTTAAACACAAGACAAAGACCAAAAACAAAAAACTCAAAACAAGCTCCATTGCAACATCCCTGGCATAATAGCTGAGAGGCATAATATCAAGGTTGCATCTATCAATCGTATACTGATGTATATCATTGTTAACCCATCCACAACACCTCACAACCCACAAGATGGAGCAACTAATTAGGGGTCAAAGGTTCCAACCGGACAGAACTTTGCCATGAACCACAACCATCAATTTCATGTCACAAAGCCAAAATAGTAAATGAATCCAAAAATTCAAAAATAAAGAAAGCAAACCTCCATTCTTCGAGGTAAACTGAAACCAAAACGTTCAGAGGCAAAAGGGAACTAAAAGGACCTGAATCGTTCTCCTACTTCCTCAAACACACAATAAGTGAATTATGTGGCGAGAAATTTTACAATGCTATATAGTATTGGTGCTATAGGTTTTTGCCTTTATGGTACAACTTAAAATGGTACATTTACGTTATGGTACAACTTCAGATTGTACCTATACTTTTTGTACAAATTCTTTTATGGTACAACTTGAACTTGTACCTTTATGTGATGGTACAACTTCAAGTTGTAAAGTTGTACCATAATATAAGGGTACAAATTGCTTTATGGTACAACCTAAACTTATACATTTAATGTTATGGTACAACTTTAAATTGTACATTAAAGCACCAATACTATATAGCATAGTAGAAGTGCTCTTATGTGGCAGACTTTTAATTTGGTGAGGAAAGTTGCAACATACCTCCTGGAATTTGGTTTCGGCGTTTCCAACACAGAGGTAGGGAGAGTTGGGAGAGTTATCCACCCGATAAATATAAGAGAGGGTGCGATCAGGTAGATAATAACAACCTGGAATTTGAAAATATTCAGGAAAATATTAATCACACCTGATTATTTAAGCATATATTTAAATATTCAGATCAACTACGTAACAAGAAAAGGGGATATTTATTCTTAATAATATATATATAGATGAAGCATTTGAATTCATATCAAACTCTCATTGCTACTGTGGACTATATAAAAACATATCCCTCTTTCAGGATTCACTTTTCGTGGAAGGGAGTAGGGGTTTACAGAGTCGCATAGGATCATCGAAGGTATTAGTTAGCTTTTTTTTTTTTTTTTCCTTCTACCCTAATTTCATAGTTTGGTACTGATTTTCATGGCGGGCAGGAATTTTTTATGCAGAATCGACGTCCCTGGGTGGAGAAGTAAGGTATGTGTTCATACTTAACCTCTATTACTTTCAGAAGCGTAATGATGTTGTTATTTTATTAGAATACCAAATGCAACTTTCATAGATTACCAAGCCATTATAATTCTTATTATGCCATAGGTTTTCGGGAAGAAGAAAAATGTATTAGTTTTAGAAAATACTTAAATATAATAAACTCCAAACAAAGAAGCGGCTTTTAAAATCATCAAACTCCCAAACTTTGCATTGATGTACTGGTTGTATAGTTCATGCAAGTCAAGATATTTCCCATGGGCTTCCTGAAATGTGAATTTTGATAACCCAAAGTGCAAATGAGAGCCAAAATTAAAATAAACAACCGAAAACCTTTAAGAGAAACCAGATGTTAACCTATTATAATGAAACAGATGGACAATTGACATTATTATGGCCAACATTCTGACTGCTAAGGTTCGCAACCAGAAGACTCCTTGTCCTGAACACTCTATGGACCCTAATATAATATATAGGTACTGATTCACAACAATTCAATGCCTAAAAAGGGTCAGCAACTTGGCCTAATAAAGACACACTGAATGCTCAACTCAAAACCTAAATGAAGTAGGGATGAAGCTAAAGGACAGGAAAGACAGTCATACAAAGTAAATATCAAACCAAGTAAAATGCGTTAATGATACCAGTCTCTGGATTTTTCTGCGTAGCCACTCCGTCCAATCCCACAATTCAAAGTCCCAACTTCCTTTCCAATTCCAATTTCGCCGCATCTGAATGAAACCCCTCCCGTTCTTCCATTTACCACCAAGAATGCCTATATCTCAAATCCCAATCTCACCCTGCCGACATTACTACAATGGGAAATGAAGCAAGAAATTACAGTAGACCAACAAACAAAGAAGAACAAACAAACAAATAAATTCTTGACCTGAGCTGGGAATTTCAATTTCACCCACTCTGTTTCTTCACTGTAAGATTTGTTGATGAGCATCTGTAATTTATTCGTCGGGCTTGATTTGTATTCGTCGGCCCAATTGAGAGAACTGGTGATACGTTACCTGCTCTCACTCCTCCCGATCTTTCTCCGTACTCTCCGCCACAAAGCCAAAAAGGTATGCCCTCCCTCCTCCCACTTGACCTTCTGTTCTACTTCTTCCTCTTCCTGAAAATCGAGCAAACAAAAAGAAACCAACCCATTTCAACTTCCCCCTTCTCCATTTTCCCTCTCTCGACTCTCGTTGTCTCTCTGCCCACGACGAGAGAAAAGAAAAAGGAAAAGACAACCAGAGCTTCACCTCCAACGACGATGGCGACAGCGGCGACCAGAAGTTGAGGTTACTTTTTTTGTCCGATCGATGGAAAGAAAGAGGAGGAAAGCGACCGACGACTCAGATCGGGGAAAATGTTAGAGAGTGGGCGGAGGAAGAAGATGATGAGATAGAAAGACAGTCTGATTTTTCTTTTTCTTTCCGAAGCATCATTGTGATTTTTGTTGTGGCCTGAAATCGATATGTGGTTAACCGGTTTGGTGACCAATAACCGGGAACCCGGTAAACCATTTAACCGGCAGGAATTCGGTTTCGATATTCGGCAGCCATCTACTATGACTCGGTATACCGTTAACCGGTTATCGACCAATTACCACCCCTAACCCGCTGATATGACAAGTTCAGGAAATTATAGCAAGGGTTTATTAATATGTTAATATTCATAAATATATATATAATTAATTATTTTAATGTGGTTTTAACCTTTTATAATGTGGTGTTTTTTATGACAATTAGGAAGATGGAAAACACAAAGGATGAAAGTGGTGATATTGCTGGTGTCTTGGAGTCTGTCCAAGCCATCAAAGAAATCATGGTGAGTTTTGACAGGCGTATGAAATTGGTGGAAATACGACTGGATATCGTAAAGGACCTGCAAGAAGATTTGTTAACATTCATGAAAACACATAGAAGAAGTCTTGGTCTGGATGCAGAACATGTCATGTCTATGGAATCAGTTGGTAATGAGAGTCTGTCAGTGGAGGTAGGTTGACTTTTTTGTTTCGGTTTGATATATATGCGTTTACGTTTAGTAATCTGATATTTAGACAAAAAATGGGTTCGTGTACACTATAAATTGATGTAGTATTATTTGACAGATTCAAGAGGAAGGTAGAGAATTTAATCTTAATGATGTGTACTCATCAGCTCGAGAGTTGCGTGCTGATGCGGAGCGCAAACCAAGCAAGTGGGTAAAATCTCCATATGCAAATGAAAAAAAGAGGAAAGTTTTTTTGGTTGGTCCGTTCAAAGTGGGTCGTCCTGCCTCAATTGAAGACCTTTCGCTGATCAAGTATCTGTTCGAAGCTGACATGAATGACTGGTTAAAATCTATACCTAACTCTATTTCTAATATCATTGTTGAATTCTTTGTTTTCACATACACTAACATTTGTTTGTTATAGTGATGTTGTGGTATCTAGTACCAACGTGTATATTATATGTGTTGACTGTTGACCTAAGGTCATTAGCTCCCACCCAAAAGATCGAGTTCGGGGTAAGTATTGCATCATGGTTTAGTTTAACAAAGTTTGATATATGTTGCTATGAATTAAGTACACGTTTCATATTTAAACTCTACGTTGTGTTTCGAAATTGTGTAAAAGGTCATTGATGGAGTTGTGGGAAAGCTTACTATCGAGGAGTCTAAAAAGGCTGTTCCTACAAACACATTCCTACCGACTATAGTTGGGGTAATCCACAAGCCCCATTCGTATACATGGACTTGCTTCTATTGATTTCATAATACTCTATGTATTAATGTGCTTATTTGTTGTAGTTGAAGTCTGGAGACACCCAGACGGAGTTTTTCAAGTATATGACTTCTCAAAAGCTGGTATCGGAATATTGTTCAAGGATCAGAGACTCTGAGCGGGTATGGTCGCATTTGAATGTTGATTTTTGTTTTATGAAAGTCCCTTCAAACCATGTGCAAAATAGTCATTTTACCTTAATTTTACTTTTTGTTCTGCTTAGATTTTCGTACCAATCTACTTGGCCCTTCACTTTGCCCTTATGGTCGTTGATATAAAAAATCGTGAAGTAGCAATTTGGGATTCATACCAAACACATACAAATGCCCCCGATCTGGAGGCTAAAGCAAAAGAAATTGTGAGTTGTCGCTTCTCGTTCACATCGCTTATTAATTAGTCTTCGCAGAAATACCAACCTAAATCTTTTAACACACATTTTTTTTTTCAATTACAGGTAACAATGTTGGACGTTCTATTTGGTAAGGACTTTAGTGGTATTCTTGATGATGATCACCCATTTCAGCGCTTTCCCATTCAGTTTGTAGCGGAGGCCCCTCAACAATCCAATGAGTGAGTTACCATCGTGTGCTTCATATAATGATTCGGTTTCACGCTACAACGATAGTGATAATAAGTACAATCTATATTGCCATTTTTCATTGGACAACGATGATTCTGGTATGTTTGTTGTGAAGTTGATGAAAGGTGCAACATCGCTAGACAAGGCGGCAAGTGATATGAGAAAAGAGGTAGCTATCATTTAAGAAACCAGTCTGTACATCATCGTTTGAGAAATTTGTGGTGAAATCTAATTGACTTTTTGAAATTATAGTTCCACAGTGAAGACGAACGACTTAATTTAGCACTTGAATTGGTGAAGTGGGAGTGACACACACAATGCATCTAATCCGACAATACATATATAATATTATACATGCATTCACAACATAATATCTATTTAACAATCGCAACTTCCAAATGACCCCATAAAATCCTAAATCAGTATTATCATTTGGATGATTTTTTCCTTAATACGATTATGGTAATTTATGAGATTTAAGGGTATTTGATCATGTCAATATTTTAGTGGTTTTTTTATTTAAAGTTTGAATTGAAAGATCGTACATACTGGCGGTTCGACCATAAAACTTCACACCATAGGCTAAATCGATAGGTGATATTTAGCAATATGAAACGGTTGAACCACAGTTAAATTATGATTCAGTATAAAATACTCTGCTGTCAAATTTTTTTATACTATTGTAATCATTTGGTTCAAACAATTCTTTAACACCGGTGGAAACAGAAGTTTTAAGGCACATTTTGAACTATCTATTGCAAAAAAACATAAGTCAGTTAGCGATAATGAGAATATGCGATCTTATTCAACCCAAAAGACACTTTGCAACTTCTATATTTTTAAAATAGATGTATGTTACTTATACCCTTGCTCATTCATCAACTTAATGAGTACTATATAATTCATGTAATATGATTTTCATAGGTTTTTATTTATTGAATTATTTCATGAAAAAAATATTTGCTACATGAAAATTACTACATTGGTGTTAAACATGTCTGCGATTTGAGAATAATTTGGGAAATCCATACACAACACATTCTCCAACTATTAGCGACAATTTAGCATCTTGTCCTATATATATTTCAAATCAAGCAACTTCAGATTCATTATCAATGGTGTGATAAAAAAGAATGCTCTCTATTGGGAAAAACTTAAAGGACATACTAAACTCTATGAGAGACATTGTCTTTCATCTTAAAGGTTGATTATGTATGTATTATGATAAACAACTCTAATATTCAATTATATGGTTTAATTAAGTAATGGATGACAATTAGTTATATTTATTTCTTTTTTCATTCAATAATTATAAGTAATGCTTATATTATATTTTTCTCTTTTCATGGAGGTCTAGACATATTATGCATAGTTGGATCACTTTCAAAAATGTTATGTGGATAACTAAGTTAGAAAACAATCATTTTGTGCATTTCAAATCCTCTATTATATATTCATTATTATATATCATATTTCTCGACAAAATTCTTCCGGCCAACGGGCCGGGTCCTGTGCTAGTCTAGATTAATGCAAGTTAGCTACTTGAGACAAGGTGCCGGTTGTATTAATAAATGAATGAATTATTAATTATTATTATTTAATTAATTACACAAGTTTAATTCACTGTTGCATACGACAAAATAGCACAATTACCACTTTTATCGGAACACTGCCGCATATTACTGTTCACTAATGTTTGTAATTATACTATGCGGTCGCTTTATGATAGACCCTAATCCCCACTGAAAATTGTTTGTCGCCTATACACGGCTCTCCAAGTTGGTTAATTAAATACTCAGTTTTGTGCCTGTTCCTTCCCACACCTCAATTGAATTATAATGGTTCCGCAAAGCTTTTACATAATATATTTGAATAAAATGTAATGCTTTTTATTATTTGATTTTCTTATTAGACTGCACATTACTTAAAACTTTTGTAACACTGTATTATAAATTTATTAACATAAAACTTATTGATTGGAGGGATAGTTATTTATTGAGTATCAATTAAAAATACATATTGCATGCGTATTTCAAAATAGTTAATACACTATATATAAAACTTATGGATGAATAGTTATTTTTTATGTATTACTCAAACAAAACATGATACAAATATATAAAGTAAGTCTTTCACAATATAAGTTTGTTTTACTACTAAGTAAACCGTTGATCATTCCAATAAATGTGTATTACACAAAGATTATGTAAAGTTAGTTATTATTTACATAATAATTTAATCAAATATGATACCACTGGTAAATTAGTTCTTTTATTATTATTACTTACAATATTCACCATCTTAGCAATTTGCATTACACAATGGTTATGTAATGTAAGGTACGCTAAATTTTACTTTATCTTTTAATCAAATGAGATATTTTTATGTCGCTTTGGTTATTATATCACACACCCATAATATTTATGTAAAACTGTTGTATAGCTATTACGTAAATTATATATACATTACTTTGAACTTATAAAGAGATAGTATTTCTTATGTATCAATTAGATAAATTTATTATGTAAATTTTTTTGTAATGATTAAAAGACTACATAAATCTTACTTGAAATTTTTACGAGTTATTTGATTTCAACTAAATAATAAAATGAGCAGATAGATAAATTTAAAATATAGTTAATTTCTTACCGTCGCTTTGGCCAAAAAACTTGTTATCCTTTTAAGAGCGCTAATATCTGTTTCTTTCTAGTTGATGTTTGATGATCTAATATAGTTTATCAAAGCTTAGCCTTCATGCAAGTACTAACCTCTGTCATGACTCACGTATGAATATTATTAATGGACCCATGAATTTGATATTGCAAATAAATGAGGGAATCGGACTTCCAACTTCCAAGTGTTTTTTAACTTATGTTTCGTCCTGTCCTTTTGAATAGGCATCACTGACAAGTGACAATGAATCAGACACACACAACCCTTAGTACTCTTTTCCATAGTAAACAACTGCCGCGACAATTCTCCTCTTGGATTGGACCAGCGCAACAGTACCTTCACCACATTCCACAGCCTTCATTACCATGTTCTAAACGGAAATTGAAGCTCTTCTTCATTATTGCCTTCTAATGTCC